TACCTGCTTCGCAAACATCACCATTGCGAATCCTACATCGTTCCTTTCTGCGGCTGCATCACCCTTGTCACACCTGTTACCAATCTGGCAAACACACGTTACGAACGTACTACCCGTAAATTCCGGATACGTTGTCAAAAAACTGACAAGAAAGAGTTTTATCTGCTTCTTTTACGTAAATGCTTCAGATAATGAGATCCGGGAGACACCTTTTCATGCATGTGGCCACACACACACACACACACACACACACACGATTATTCTAAATGTTTTTCACATGGGAATTTACAATTACGTTTAATTCAAGAGCTTTCACGTGTAGCCTAGATATGGTGAGTGAGTCTGGGTTGTAAAACACACTAGTTATTCGTGTAACAGCAATGTCACGATGACCTATAATCCCGTCTGTATCTGGCCAGTGTTCATCATCATGGACATCAGCTAATGATGAACATCATAGACATCAGCTAATGATGAACATCATAGACATCAACTAATGATGAACATCATAGACATCAACTAATGATGAACATCGTGGACATCAACTAATGATGAACATCATAGACATCAGCTAATGATGAACATCGTGGACATCAACTAATGATGAACATCATAGACATCAACTAATGATGAACATCGTGGACATCAGCTAATGATGAACATCATAGACATCAGCTAATGATGAACATCATAGACATCAACTAATGATGAACATCATAGACATCAACTAATGATGAACATCATAGACATCAACTAATGATGAACATCATAGACATCAACTAATGATGAACATCGTGGACATCAACTAATGATGAACATCGTGGACATCAACTAATGATGAACATCATAGACATCAGCTAATGATGAACATCATAGACATCAACTAATGATGAACATCATAGACATCAACTAATGATGAACATCATAGACATCAGCTAATGATGAACATCGTGGACATCAACTAATGATGAACATCATAGACATCAACTAATGATGAACATCATAGACATCAACTAATGATGAACATCATAGACATCAGCTAATGATGAACATCATAGACATCAGCTAATGATGAACATCATAGACATCAACTAATGATGAACATCATAGACATCAACTAATGATGAACATCGTGGACATCAACTAATGATGAACATCATAGACATCAACTAATGATGAACATCATAGACATCAGCTAATGATGAACATCATAGACATCAACTAATGATGAACATCATGGACATCAACTAATGATGAACATCGTGGACATCAACTAATGATGAACATCATAGACATCAACTAATGATGAACATCATAGACATCAACTAATGATGAACATCATAGACATCAACTAATGATGAACATCGTGGACATCAACTAATGATGAACATCATAGACATCAGCTAATGATGAACATCGTGGACATCAACTAATGATGAACATCATAGACATCAACTAATGATGAACATCGTGGACATCAGCTAATGATGAACATCATAGACATCAGCTAATGATGAACATCATAGACATCAACTAATGATGAACATCATAGACATCAACTAATGATGAACATCATAGACATCAACTAATGATGAACATCATAGACATCAACTAATGATGAACATCGTGGACATCAACTAATGATGAACATCATGGACATCAACTAATGATGAACATCATAGACATCAGCTAATGATGAACATCGTGGACATCAACTAATGATGAACATCATAGACATCAACTAATGATGAACATCATAGACATCAGCTAATGATGAACATCATAGACATCAGCTAATGATGAACATCATAGACATCAGCTAATGATGAACATCATAGACATCAACTAATGATGAACATCATAGACATCAGCTAATGATGAACATCGCGGACATCAACTAATGATGAACATCATAGACATCAGCTAATGATGAACATCATAGACATCAGCTAATGATGAACATCATAGACATCAGCTAATGATGAACATCATGGACATCAACTAATGATGAACATCATAGACATCACCTGAATACAACACACTGATTCTGCACTGCACCTGCAGCTAACACATGGTGACCCTGGATCACCCATCACAACAACATACTACAGGGGCCAACGTGGTCACTTGCTACATGGAATCATCTTTCTGGAAACGGCCATTTTGTATTCTTGGGAAGGTGTGCGTCTTGTATTGAAAACAATCGTTCCAAGTATAACTTAAAACAATGTTCATATTGTTTAATCCCGAAGCAATGGTTCGGTGGACATGTTGGATGTCCTGATATTTATGTGTTGTGGAAACAATGACTTTTGTCAAAAAGCTACAGGACCTTGCCCGAGTTCCCGCCGTGAGTAGCGGATACAGAGTCAGACTCTCTAAACGTCTCTCATCCCAAGGATGAATCAATAACGTCTGGATGTTTACTGAAAAAGCAGCCGCCGCCAAGTGTTGCAACACAAGTATGTTCCTTTTGAGTAAACATCCCGAAAGCTTGGAGAAACCTGTTATTGACAGACCTGCCCTAATTGTGTTGTTCACTGTGCTATTTCAGACACAATAAAACAGGTAAAGTGACCATAATTTAAACTCTCGCTCAACTTGCTTCCAAAATAAATATTTCGATTGTGAACTATCGCCATTATCGTTTGATAATGATGCTATATATCCCCAGCAGTGGTGAAACACATTTTCAACAATGCTCAAACAAGTCCTTAGGGTGACAATCATTCCAGATATATCAATATATCATTAGAGATGATTCATAGCGCCCTAGGCAGACCTTCTGGCCCGTGCAGCATGTGAAAGGACAATTTGTGACCACTGACCACTTGATCCGTGACAGGATGGAAGGACAATCTGCGACCACAGACCACTCGATCCGTGACACGATGGAAGGACAATCTGCGACCACTGACCACTCGATCCGTGACACGGTGGAAGGACAATCTGCGACCACTGAGCACGTGGTCCATTACACACGAGGGTAAACAATCTGTGATCATCGACTACGTGATCCGTGACACACGAAGGAAAGCAATCTGTGACCATTGTCCTTGTGATCTTTGACACGAGGGAAGGTAGTATGTGACCACTGGCTATGGGGTCCTGGGCGCATGAGGGGAAACAATCTGTGACCACTGAAGGTGGACAATCTTTGAAAATCTGTGACCACTGATTTCGTCCCTTCACACCCGGAGTAATATTCCACAAGTGTTTTCGTACTTATTCAAAGACTTTCAATTACATGTATCAATGCGTTCAAGTAGCGTGACCTGGGGGCGTATATAGGTGTTACGTTACCTCTCCCTTGATTACAGGTGTCCACACACAGGTGTGATATATATAGTGTAACAAGAAGCAGGACGCAAGAAAGAGGAAATGGTGGTGTGCATCTTGAAATAAACTGTAGATTACATGAGGTTTCTTGAACACGTTTCTTAAAGGAAATCTGTCGTTTGAAATAAAACATTGGCTGATGTTTCCTTGACGAGTGCTAGAACTACCTTGCATATATGAATGGAGGCACGTTCGAATCCATCACCATCACGGTATTTACTGATTGTATTCAAATTGACCAGTCAACTCGTTACTCCACGCCTCTCGTTACTCGCTCCATGGACGACATCAGTGAATATGTATTCAAGTGTTATTCGAAATCTACACAATACTGTGTTGGAAAGTATTAGAACACTTCTATAATTTTCTTGTTTTATGGATTTAATCACTTGGTTCAGATTGTGGTCATATTTGATTTTGGTGTTGGAACTTCAACCCTCTTCATCTTTCACAGACAGACCCGCCACAACACATAGTACTTGGAAATCTTATTCACCAGCTTCATGACTTTGTTTAACTAACAGTATAAAAACTCCAACCCTCCAACAGCACATGGTACATTGATATCTGATTCCTTGCTTCTTCTATTGTTTCTGTGTCCCTCACAGACTGCCCCCTGCATATCAACAGTTTCGTCAATAATAGAACGTTGGTCTTAAGTTTCAGAGCCAACTTTCTCTCCAGTCCCTCAACAAACAGTTTATTTGAGTTTTACAGAGAAGATTATTGACACGGTGTTCTCATATTCCCCGTTCTCATGAAAACAATGTATACTTTGACATAAGCCCTGACCGCCTGACATGGCGAAATGACGAAGACAGATCAAGTTCCCCGGATCCGCAAACAGCGCCATTAAAACCAACGAACTTAGATTTACTCAAGCAACAGCGCTGGAAAATATAAACACTCCAGCATAAGACATCGGACCCTTAAATCCATCTCCTTTAATCCCCCCAACTGTCAAGTTATCTACAGATGATAACAGTGGCGATATGAACCACTTAACCCCCGTCCCTCGGCAAATACCCCGTCACGTCAGTGTGCATGCAGACGCTGGGGGGTCAATACTCTTCACTTTATAAACAGGCGTTTATTGGACCCTAAGCCCATTTTCTGTGAAACGTCGCAATGTTTATAATTTCAGTGATTTGTCACGTCACATTAATGCTCTGATAGTGACGGAAGTGGACCTCGAAATTGGCTATGGTTCGTTTAACATTTATAGTCCAATGTATCTTTAGACTACAGGCATAAAAGTTATATTTAACCTTTTATGTACTATTAAGTTTTGTATTCAGTAATTTCACTGATACAAGACAAGTTAACCTAATTGCTCTACAACATATGAGGTTCCTGGTGAGGGTGTGTCGTTTGTCTGTGTGCGCGCGTGTGTGTGTGGATCAGTGAGTGTGCGTGTGCGCGTCTGTGTGTAAACCTGGCGGGGAGTATTGACTATTAACCAGCAACTTCTGAAAACAGTACTTATATTCTGATATAGGGTATTGAACTGTACTGGGTCGCTATTTTTGATAATCTGGATACAGGTTTATCTTAGATGCTTGTTCCTAACCCTTCAGTAATCTCACGTGTATTGAACTTATTGAGCTTAGCTTTGCGTTCAGTCCATATCAAAGTCATCTACAGATCAGTGACTATCTCACCTTCTCTGCCGGAGTCTTTGCCTTTATCGGTCTCCTCAACATCGTCTGAGGGCGGGTCAGCTTTGACTTCGGGAGGGGGAGGGGGTGCTTCTGCAGCCATTTGCACTTTGGCCCCGGACAATTGTAGTCTGCGCTGGAGCGTCGTCTGCCCGGGACCCCCCTGAGTGTCCTCCTCCGCTGCCTCCCTTCGGGTAGAGCGCTTGGGTACATAGCGGTATCGTAACATTTACAAGTTCCCACGCTTGTCATTCAGGCACCTCTTCAGCAAGCCTCTCAGGTTGAGATCACTATCGGGTATTCCTCTGTACTTTGTTGGGAATTATCTTAACGGGTTTGTTAGATTCTGAACAACTGTGTTTTCCACACTTAACTACATGAGCACAACACTGGCTATCCACACATCTCCACGTGCTCTCAACAACACGGAACACTTACATGCGTATCTCTGCTGGTATCCTTGTAGATAAAACAAGTCAAAGTGCGCAAGTCGGTGAACTTCCGACAGCAAAGGTATTACAGCTTCCTACCCGCTGTTCAACTCCATAATCGAAAAATACGATGAACACAAATTCACCAGACTATACTCTTTAAATATCCAACTGAAAACCACTAAAACACGGGTTCTGAATATGTTTGTTCTCAAGACGCACATATGATACTTTCAACTGGGCGGTTCCTGATCCAGTTCCCACCAAGACCCGCCTCATGGGTGGCGTTCATAGATTCCCGTCGTATATGTCAACCATGCGTGGCATCAACACGTCTTCACAGGGGCGACACATCCCTCCTCCCTGTCGATAAAAGTCGCCTGCAGGTACTACTACATGATCAGCTGGAGGGTGGCTAGGTACATGGGCATAGATGATGTCCACGGCTCAGTTACTTCCACTCAGCATCTGACATCACTGGGAGACCTCATCAGACTGGATGCTCCGCACTGATGACAGGGTTTAATTCAGTGAGACACAGAGACACAGACGCGGAGATCGCTCCCTCACAATGTCCCCCCAGTGTGGGACGAAACAGCAACAGCACGGCTATTGTCCTGGATTGCTAGCTCGGGTGTGACAGGTTCCAGAAGGATAGTTTCAGCACACGATATGTTCACTTCTTAATCTACTCCATGAAATAATTGAGATAAAGCCTTGATATAATGTATTCCGAGTCGTCTAGAAATGCATGGCCGAGCAAATCTGAAGGGCATATATCAGCCATGTGCTTACTTAGAAAGCTAATCCATTATATGATAAAGTACTTATGAAACATACCTGTCTCCATTCTGTTTTCTTTTGGTGAGGAGTATCTTGGCAGGTCTTATGGATCTAACTTTCAGCATGTGATATGTTTATTCCAAATCTACTTGATACACAGTGGAGAACGTTGTGTACAGAAGTAATTATGTATCCAACATATCTTCTGGTGTTGCATATCTGAATACGTCCTGTGATGACTTGCAACAGGTGGTGTGTTCTTTATCCAGTGTGTGGACAAGTTGAGAGCACGACAGTTCCACCAATGTTTTATCTCTTCATCTGATGCCACAGAGGATACACAGAGAAAACAAACACCCAGGAGATGGTTACAAGCAGACGATATGTTGTTTATGTCTCGGTTTGTTCAATAAAGTGATACGCCGAACGTTGAACTGTTTGTGCTCGTCATCTTCAACAAAGATCTCCAGTCTTCCACCAAACCTGAACATGCGTTGATCTGTCACAAGCCTAGTCCGAGATAATACAGTTTCTAATGCGGATTACCGGAGTTCAATAGCTATTGTTATGTCGGAGAATCATAGCAGACGATACAATGTCTTCCTTGTGTGTGATAGTGCTTTCTCTGTACAAACTGTTGACAAATAGGCCTCTTCACGTTTGTTGATTCAGTTCGAGTGTGTCTGATCCTGATAATTAAGACAGTTAACACCTATCTGGCGTTGAGGGTCACGTTTCACTCAGAGTAAGTTTGTTGAAGTCTGCAGTTGGCGATGTGGGGACAGACTCACTGACACCGGATGACAGCGCGGACAAATCCCACCACTAACATACACTTCTTCCTCGTGCTCAGTATCGCACTGTAACAGCCTAAATGACAAGTGTGAGGTGCGCACCCGATTAAGTGATACACGTGTACAATACCTCGCTCCTCTTGCACTATTTGTCGATGACACGCTGCTAAAAGTCAACGACAGGTGGTAGTGCTGTCGTGCAGCGATGCAGTCAGAGTTGCCGAGGGGCGTGCACAATGTGTGCACAGATGTATTAATCACACTCCACGTACTGGTCTTCCATCGATTGGAAATAGGATCAAATGAAATCTACAGTATCACCTTGGTATCCGACGTATTGTATCCCGACCCGAATACTGGCTGCATCAAATACGAATAAAAGTCACGCCAGGAGAGGTCCTTTGACAATAAGACTCTTGCATTTTGTTCATCCGTGCATTTCTTTGCATTTAAAACGACAATAAATCAGAACAGTAGAGTCCAATGCGTGATGAGGCGACACGGAATGTGCTCTCCAGCCCGGTAACGTGTCCCGATGGTTGTCGGTGAACTAGAGGGCTCTCAGGTATCTAGCGCTTTGTTTGACCGGGGACACCCGTAACATCCCTTTCTAATAGTTCAGGGATATTCGCAACTTGCGGTTGATGATTAAATAGTTCTACTGCATCTCTAACATTTCAACAATAGCAGGTAAATATAACTGCAAATTGAATATATCCAAATTTACGGAATAATCACATATACACATCCGAGCGGTTTTGAATTTAAACACTCAGAAGCAAAGCCACGGCGAGAGTAGTGTATTTCACACCAGCCTACAACGGTTTTCAAAGGATGACAAACATCCTTTGTAGCAAGCTGTCAAATTGATCAGACGTGGAGTCTCGTAATGTCACAGCAAACGATCTTTATCTTATTCTGCATATGTCGTCTGCTGCTTGTCACATGTCGTCTGCTACAATTCGTCTGCTGCTTGTCGCATGTCGACTACCTCGGTCATGCAGAAGATAAATGTGACCCACCAGTTGTTCCGGTCCGAGCGGAGGTCACAGAGGGCTTGAAGACGAAAAACGAAGCGGTGTCGGCAGATCGATAAGAGAGGAATTCAAATGCGAGTTCAACTCCGAGAAAGGGATATACTTCTTAAGATCAAACACACCAAGCAGAAAATCCTCTCCACACATCGGTTGTCCTATATGAATGAGTGTGACGGGCTTTAACCTGCTGTTGTTCACCTGTTGCCGTAATCAGCGCAGTGGGACTGATCTCTCGCCTGCGTGACAGCCAGGCCAGGTTCGCCAACTTAGGGCGAGAATTACCCCTGTTCAAACAGACGACAAATTATTGAACTAAACAAGGAACGTTAAAAGTGGCTGGACGGATAACGCGTTGCTCAAGTGGAGCATTTACATTTAATCTGTCTTTGATCGTTCTGCGGTATTCATAAATAGGGGTACTCGGCACGAACTGACTGAGGTGCAATATGAGCATATTTCTTCATGGCATGTATAATTAATTTATATTAATTTCGGTACTTCATCAGTGAGGACGACTCATGACCGCGGGGTACCACTCAGGCGTCATCGTCGTTCCCAAGTGCAACGTCTTTTTCCATAGAAATGTTCTTGGTTGTGAGAGTGGAGTATCATCGTAATTTGATGAAATTAAACACCGTTACTTTGTCGACCATGTCTATTTTCTGTTCCGGTTACGAAATGATGTCACCCCATAACGAAGATACTCAACCAGGACTAAATATACGTCCTTTAACAAATGCTAAAACTACGTGATTCTCAGTCACGACGTAGAAAACATGATTCTAAACAATACTAAATGTGATTCTCATATAATATGGAGATTATACGTGGTTCTAAAAACAACGGCATTGAATAGCCGCAAGGGACCTGATGCGGCGTTAAGTAATATTCACTCACTAACTAAACCCATGGACGTCATCAACCCAAACCAAGACTGCTGCTTCTTTACCAAACTGAGAATACCTGACTCCAAACCAAGGTGCTTCTCAACCAATCGCAATCAGAACTAAGAATATACGTACCTTTCAACCAACGTACCAACCAATATAAAGAACCCATGATTCACGAAGAATCTGAAGACAATCAACTAATACCACGTGCTTCTTAACCATTCATCCGTGAGTTTAAACCAATACCAAGTACATGTTTAAGTGCTCCTTAACCATTGCTAAGAATACGTGTTTTTAACCAACTACGAAGAATATGTGCTTCTCAAACAAAGCCAAACAGTACGGGCTCCTAATAACAACTAAGAATACGTTCTTCTGAACCATTACTAGGATTGGATGCCTCCAAAACAAAACTTAGAACAGGTTCTTCTATCCATTTCTGTGGATACGTGCTTCCAAAGCACTTCTAAGAATACGTGTTGGTAAACCAAGCTAATAGGAATACATGTTTCTAGCCACACCTAGCAATACCTGTCAAACCATTACAGAATCTATGCTGATCAACCAGTAGAAGTCTAGGTGCCTAGACCATTAACCAAGACTATTAACAAGTGTTTCTGAACCAACACTAATAGTGTACATGTTCCAGCAAGCAGTCCGTTATGAGGGTAACAGCGATGACCGTGGAATTACGGTTCTGTGGTGCTAATACATCAAGACGGAACAAAGCTTTTGCTCGTCACGCCGAAGGCCCGGGTTCGATTCCCAACATGGGTACAATGCGTGAAGCCCATTTCTGGTGTCCATCGCCGTTAATTTTGCTGGAATATTACTAAAAGCGGTTTCAAACCATACTCACTAATGCAAGATGGAATAAACTCATGGCACTTTATAAACGCTTTTAAAACTTTTGTCTCCTTTCATCAGCAGACATGACCCGGTGATATATAGCCTTATTAGAACAAGTAAAACATATTTAAGGAATCTCTCCATATATGTAGTCATCTCCCCCGTGTCTGACCCGACACGGACGTTGTGTTGCCCGGGAACACAGGGTGGTGCGACTTGGTGAGGAGCAATATGTCAATACATTGGTCGCTGGATATATTTGCACATCGAAATTCCTGGGATTCTACTGCCTTTGTTGTCACGGTCACCGTAAGATGCAAAGTAGCCGCCGACTTCCAAGAGAAGTGAATGGTGGGTGTAACGTCGCTTTGTGCTGTTATATCACTGAGCATCATTTCAGTACGTGTTTAAAGCCCAGCATAGCGCATGCAGGTTGCAGATCTTTCTTCATGACAGAAGGATCAATAATTATAGCGAATTAAGAGTTCAAATCCGTAATGATCGTTTAATTGCTCAGCCATGGAATACCAAGTCTGCAGAACGAGGCGCTGCGTCATCGATGTCTGTAACGTGACAACAGGAGAAACGAGGACAACGATAGACGAGAGGGAGTGGGCATCCGAGAGACCCATGTATTGTGTCTCGGTGGTGATGTCTGTCTGTGCCTGTGTCAATCACTGAGAGACCATCCAATGAAGGTCCGGGTTAGAACATTGGCCTTCAGTAACCCATGTTTGTCGTAATAGGCGACTAACGGGATCAGGTGGTCTGGCTCGCTGACTTGGTTGACACATGTCATCGTATTCCAGTTGCGTAGATCGATGCTCCTGCTGTTGATCACTTGATTGTCTTGTCCAGACTTGATTATTTACAGACCGCCGCCATATAGCTGAAACATTGCTGAGTGTGGCGTTAAACAACAAACCAACCAACCCATCACTGAGAGACCAGTGGGTTGACTGGAGAGGTCTGTGGGTCTCTGTCACTCAGAGAAATGAAGACAGGTCGGCAAGCAAAACACCTCTCTGAGACAACCATGCCGATTGCTTCGAGTTCAATTCTCTTCCAAGGTCCATTACATTGAATGTATTTCAGTAAAGAACTTTTTTTACGTTTCCTATCTCCCTATCACTAAGACCGTAGTTAGGTCGAACTTATTTTAACAGATATTTCACATATTGACTACACAAATTGTAAATATAAATGTGAAAAACAACAACAGTTTTTCCCCTATTTCCACCTGGACTTGACCTTTCGTACTGGGTCAGTGTGACCTCCGACATCACGCGACCTACTAAACCCTTGCACGTGCAGCATCAACAGTGTAATCTTTCGAGGGAACTTCTAGCGAAGATAATTAGCATGTGACTGACAATAAAATGAAACACAAAATATCCCTATCAGAGGATGGTATGTCTCTTTAGATGGCTTGCCGCGCAAATGACGGGTCAGGGTGCAACTTTACTTCTGACGACGCAGCTTGTCTTGCTTACACTACGCCGTTTGTTTTCAGTCACATTAACGTCGGTATGTGGAGAAGTAGCCAGCTAACGAGGTTGTTGGTTTCCTGTTTAATGGCGCGGAGAGCACAAAGCGGTGATATTCATTTGTTGCTGTGACCGGAGAGGCCATGGAACGACACCCGAGCATGAAGAGTGTAACTTCTACAGTTGAAACACAACATAATAGGCTTCAGTGCGATATCCATCAGTGTTCTTTGTTTCCATACAGTTCCCCCAGGTAACGACAGCTCGTTCATCTGCGAACGCGTTTCAGAATCAGTGTTCTCAAATACATGTGTATACCATTATTTGATGACGTGACAATTATACTCCCAAACTAGACAAACATTCCTTGTTTAACTGATAAGCCTAATGTGTTCATGGTACTGGACTGATTTTCTATTTAAATTAAAATTACGAGGACATACGTCTGTTGTGCACTCTACATACTTTCCCTCTGAAGAATCCCTGTACAGCAAATGGTGTGACGACAAGACGTTTCCGAGTTGAACATTCAAATCCTTAATTTCAAATTGACACAATTCCTGTAATAATATCTTGGCCATAGCATCACTACATTCGGGAATGTCAAACCTAACAATAATAAAACAAGCATTGTCACTAAGGTGACATAATCCCCCGCCGCAAATTATCAAATCAAACTTATAAAGTAATGAAAGTTTAAGTTAAATGTCAACAAAAACATGACCAGTCAACCTCTCTTGAAGTCTTGCTCTTTAGGTGTTCAAACACATATTTTCAAGACTGACTTTGACATGAATGTCATAGTGTATGAAATATGCAAAAATAGTACAAAAGAAATTGCTTTTTGAAAAACATTTAAGGGAATTCTTGAAAGTCTTTGAAGATGATCCAGTGAACTGTTTTTGAAATATCTTGCTGACAATTCAGGTTAACATGCTGAAATCTTCAAAGTGTCTCTGTGACCTTGAAAATTAAGTGAAGGTCACCAAAATCGACTGGGCCCGGCGCCTTCCCTGGATAAAGCTTTGTATTGAATATGAAGAAAATCAAGTTACCGGTTCTTGAGATAGCTTAACATGCAGGTTTACATGCTGAAACCTTCAAAGTGTCGCCATGACCATGAAAATTATGTGAAGGTCACCAAAATCGACTGGGCCCTGCGCCTTCCCTAGATAAAGCTTGGTATTGAATATGAAGAAAATCCAGTGAATGGTTCTTGAGATAGCTTAACATGCAGGTAAAAGGTTAAAGTCCCTTGTGACCTTGAAATGGTCAAGGTCACCAAACCTGACTTGGACCTTTCTTATACTGTGATGAACTTAGGTACCAAATATGAAAAGAATCTAGTGAACGGTTCTTAAGATATTCCAATTCGTACCTACGTACGTTCGGACAGATGGACGGACGGAGCCTAATACTATATCCCCCGCTTCGCGCTAAACGCGCGGCGTGGGATAATAATTAAAACACAGATCTTGTGTTTGCAGAAGCTGCAGAAGTATGCACAGATCACCCTTTGGTTGTTACAGGAGTTGACTGGACGCCTGGGTGACTGGTTGGAGGACTAAGGACGTTTTCAAAGCCTGTCTAAATCAATCTGTTGCTTTTTGTGTTTACCTTACGTAATAAGGAATGATATCACACAGTTTCATAGCACACCAGAAATAATAGTCTGGACCAAACATACCAGTTATCATATCCATAGTGTCCTACAAAGTCTGAACAAGTAAATCAAATAACTTACTGACAACCCAATCACTTATTTGTCCCATACAACCATCACTTTCTGGTGCCATCTTTTGCCAACCTTGAGCCAAATCCCCACAGGATCGCATCTTGTCAGACCTCCTTGCTGTCTTCACAATAACACAACTCTGGTGTAACCAGTTTCTTAGCAAGTATTTCATTGCTTTTTGATACCATGGATGTCATTCATATTTCAGACTTTGAATGTTCATTTTTCATACTTGAATCAAATGATAACAAAACACTGGTGATGTTTCAAAAATATTATATACAATTGTTATTTACATTGTGGAACAACAACTAGGTACGATTCTGTGTGGCTGGATGTTCATGAAATGCAGAGCTCCCTACATGATGCAGTAAAATATGTTGAAAGCACTAAAGTAAGTTTTGCACTGGTGTCAGTTTGTTGCTGCTACAGGCTTCTGAAGAGTTGTCCCCCTTGCTTCTGTTGAGTCATCTTTTGAAGGTGAGAAACATGGCACATCCGGCAGGTCGGGAACTGGAAGAAAGAAATTCAGTGAGTGAGTGTGTGAGTGAGTGAAGCAGAGAAGTAACATCCTTATCCTAATGGCAGCTGGGTATTTATTGAAAATCTTAAAGATTACCCTCAGGGCCATATCGGAAATACCCAGATAAAATATTTCAAAACACTAAGTAATATTATCCACAGTTGCAAATGCTATTTGTAATATGACTTTATAGGCATTTGAAGTTATCATAAATTCTTATTTTCTATGCAACTAACTATCAATAACACCTTATATTTCAAGACCAATGTTCAAACAGCGTTAGCCGTAAGAGCAGACCCTGGGCAATTCTAAAAGTAAAGAAAAAAATGGGGGAGAAATAGGACCCTGAGTTGAGAACAGAAAAAAAACTATCATGTGCATACATTTAAGTTGGTTGAAGTTAATGAGAAAGAATCTCTTATTTTGAGGTTTCAGAAATACTGTCGAATGTACATATCCAAGAGCTTTCAAACTATAACAAAAGATGACCATCCCCTAAAGCATTATGGTAAGACATTTATTTTAACCCAGTTTTGACTGCATAGAAATGAACACATAAATAGTGATGACTTACAGATACACTGCTTAAAATATTCAATTCTATCAGCCACTAAATGATATGTTTAACTTTTGTGGACAAGACTTGGTTCTAGTGGACTAGTGGGCTATCATGACCTTCCATCCCGTACATGGTTTCAAGATGAAGAAGAAACATGGATCCCAGCCAAAGTTATCTTTTGATAAAAAACACAAACAGAATACTCAAACACATGTACTTAAGAAGCTAATTAGGAGCTCCAAAAACCAGTCCTGACCTGCAGCAAACCTCCTTAACCAAACATACATTCAGCTTAAAAGATGTTTTTCTTTTGAACAAGACTGTTTCCTCATACTAGTGTTTGAAAATGATGATTTACATAAAGTTTGTGTGTACGCATGATGCTCACTTGCAATGCTAACACCCTCTTGTCAAGCCTGAAGCTAGTGAATTATCACAACCTTATGAAAACATAGAACGTTCTTTCCAAGGGTTAAGATCTGAGAGAAACAATTTGGATCTGTATTTGGAATAATGGTAGATATGAAAAGATTTTGACATGGTTAACTCATCGTCACTGTCCAGTGATTGTATGTGATTGGTCAGTTCCAGCAGGAACAAATAAACACATGACCAGGAGGGAGCAGGGTGCATGGCCAACAAGATGGCAATCCAAACAATTGAAGCATATGGAAGACAGAGGTGTTAATGTGTGAAGGGAAATAAACAGTGATAACAGCAATTAGGTGACCTAAGGTAACTCTGTGATAAACAGTGCTCACCAAATAGAAGAAACCCCTACTTCATTTCATAGCTGCCAAATGTCTGAATTTTACATATTTGTTACAACTTTGCTACTAAAATATAATAGTGAGTGAGTTTAGTTTTATGCCTCACTCAGTAATTTTCCAGCTATATGGCGTAGTGGTGTTCCGAATAATTGAAATAATCGAAGATTGGTCGCAGTGACCAAATGACCAAGCAATCGATCACATTTACTCATAATCGAACACATAAACTATTTTGGAACTACTGTTTTAGTCTTTGAAACACATGAAAACATGTTTAATTCTTAGAAAACTCACTTCACTAACTGAAAAGCAATGACTGAATATATTTTTTGAAGACTCCGGGAAGTTTATGTTCATGATATATTAGTCATCACTTTAAAGTAGCAAGTTGCATCATGTTATACATATATGCAATAACGACCTTGATGGGAAAATCTGAAAAATGACGTTAAACCAATTTTTTTCGATGATTGTTCGTTGGTAATGAAGCAATCATCAATTGTGAGATTTCAACCAATTCCCAACACTAATATGGCGGCGGTCTGTAAATAATAGAGTCTGGACCAGACAATCCAGTGATCAACAGCATGAGCATCGATCTATGCAATTGGGAACCGATGACATGTATCAACAAAGTCAGTGAATCTGACCACCCGATCCCGTTAGTCGTCTCTTACGACAAGCAGGGGTTACTGAAGATCAATTCTAACCCAGACCTTCACGGGTGTATAATACAATAGCATCATTTCTGTCTTAATTTATATGAAATAATATGCCAACATAAATTCATCATGATTAAATTTTCACTGAAAGGGTCATTCTTTGACCTTGCACAGTCTATGGAAAGAGCACTTGTCATTTATTCACAAGTGTGAAGCCTATTAATAGCGTTGCACCCTGTCCTCTCAAGACAATGCTGGTGTGCTGACCAGAAGATTGCAAGAAAATAGTTATTGAAATTAGGAAACTTTGGCAGCTATGTACATATGAACCCCTGCTTGTGCTTGAAAGAATTAAATGAAAATAAATCTCCAATAAGAATCAAATGTTACTGAAACAGGAGACAATCAATAATGGCGATATTCTACTTGTATCATGGATGACTAGTCCTTCAATATGGATGCCAGGTTGTCACCTTCCTCTTCCATTGCCCGCTGGTCAGCGACCAGGAGGTCACTCAGCTCCTTCTCAAGGCCATCTTCAGAGGCATCACTTGATGACAGATCCTGTGATATCAGCTGAGTTATCTCCCCTTGATCTTCCAGAGCCTGCACAAAATGGCAAAGTAAAGGACCATTTCAAAGTTTTGGATAAAGGTTTTACTATCATGACAACATGTATATGAGTATTACAAGGATTTCAAAATTTTCCGAAAAGCTACGAGAAGTGATGTCTCAGAAGTCTGTCAAGTAATGAAGTTTTTTATCCTACACTCAACTTTTGAACTGGTCTCTAAGTTAAATATATTGCAGAAACTTCACAGCAAGATAGACACTGTGGTAACATGAAGTACTCACAAAGTAGTCACCGTTTATCATGCTTTACTAAGCAGTATCTACTGACTTGTCCATTCTAGGTATGTTCTAATGCCAACTGTACCCTCCAAGTGAAATACAATATTTGGAAAGAAACAAAACTTTCAACAGAACACAAATCTCATAGTAAAGACTCCTTCACATGAAAACAGAAACGTCTCTAATAGGATGTGTGGCCTTACATCGTGCAGGTTGTCAACAACATTCTCCACTTTCTCGACGGGCGTCTCCTGGTTAAGCGACTTGATGGCAGACATCCCAGAATTGTAAGCTTTGAGTATCTGTGGAAGGGAGATAGATGCTTAGTGCAGACTGAGCAACACATATTTTGTTCATTTTAATAGTTATCACAGTTTGTTCATATTAATAGTTATCAAATTTTGTTCATTTTAATAGTTATCACATTTTGTTCCACCCCCACCTCTTACATTCAGTATGTAAATTTTCATAAACAGCTATAGCTCTGCCTATTGCTTTGGCTCACTTTCAGTTATATCACCAGTATGCCCATACTTCCTTCACGACACTGATGTACATAGTTCCCTACCATTTCATTCGTAGCAGCATCCTGTATTTTCGTCATCATGTTGTGCAGCTGGTCAATGGACGCCATCTTCTGACTCAGAGTCTGTTCCACCCTCTTCTTCCTGCGTAGTGACTGGAGGGCCTGGGACAACAGGAATAACAGTGGTTGGTTCACGATACATGACAACAGAGTGAGCAAGACTGGCTCACTGCTGCTGATACAGTAGTCACTTAAAGGGCATGTCAACATCATCTGGTTTTAGTCAGCCCAATACGACACAGTTGTAGAGGTCTACCACCTTTGTCATGTTAGTAGTTTCCTACCAGAACACTGAGTGAGTGAGTGAGTGTGTGAGTGAGTGTGTGAGTGAGTGTGTGAGTGAGTGTGTGAGTGAGTGAGGACAGGAGAGACGGATGGATGGAGGTCCTATGCCGTTTTTAGCAGTGTTGCCACAAAATCACAGCGGGGGATGTCGGATCCATTATAAACCAAGGTTCCAACACAACTCAAATGAAACTACTACTACATGATCAAATCTCACTCATAAAAGAATACATAAAGCTGTTATGGAACTCAGCTGTTGTCAGCAAGAGTGGCTATTTCTATTTAAAGCGTGTACATAATCCATAGTTTGGTAGCTCCCTGCTCAGGGAACCAGTCCCATACAAAGCTGGTATGAATCACAGACCCACTCACCAGTGTCTTCTTGCCTTCCTTGACATGACACCTGGCTTCATTCCTCAGTCTGAAACAGAGGAAGACATTGTCTACTCTGAAGTAGTGTAATGACTACAATCCCATCTATGTATACATACTGTAATGTGGCAGTGTTTGTAGACATTGTACAACAGTGTTGTATATGTTTTACATTGTTTCTGTTAAGAAGGGTAGTGGTGTGCTGGGTTCTATATTTAGACAAGGAGACAAGACTGGTCTGGAAATTTCTAGTCCTTCCGAATTGTCTGACCAAGTGAGTTAGGGAAAGTTAGGAAACGTTTGTTTCTGTACAAAAGATACATCCTCTTGCCTCAAGCATCTTACATTACATCTCACATTATAAGAAGACAACAGTGTGAAGATCACTGTTAACCCTGGCTACTCAGCCTTGGCCTATTTTGAAGCTTGACCACTGTTGTAGTGACTTGACCACTGTTGTAGTGACTTGACCACTGTTGTAGTGAAGGGACTATTACCATCACTGTCTTTGTTGCTGCTTGTATACAATATTCTTAGTGAATTTGTTCTGCCTCTCTATTTTGCCACTGTAAATCATTTGTAGTGATTTGCACTTACTTGTAAATGTATTCAGTTTTAGAATATAGCAATACTTTACATCACATTTCTTTGTTCTTTGTTGGTTTCACATTGAATTCCTTATGTCCAGTTGACCCATAGCTATACATGTGAGACTGACCACTGAGGCATAGTGGTGTTCCTCTTAATCGAAATAATCAAAGACTGGTCGCAGAGACCAAACGACCAAGCAATCGATCACATTTTCTCATAATCGAACATTAACGATTTTGGAACTACTGTTTTAGTCTTTGAAATACTTGACAATGGAACATATCTTAGAAGTTGTCAGGGCCTGAAAACATGTTTATTTCTTAGAAAACTCACTTCACTAACTGAACAGTCATGACTGAATATTTCTCTAAGACTCCAGGAAGTTTATGTTCATGATATATTAGTCATCACTTTAATGTAGCAAGTTGCAACATGTTATACTTTTCTGCAGTAACAACCTGGATAGGAAAATCTGAAAAATGACGCTAACCAATTTTTTTCGATGATTGTTCATTGGTAATGAAGCAATCATCAATTGTGAGATTTCAACCAATTCCCAACACTACTGGGGCATATTTCCAATCTATGCTGATCTTACCATGATAGGCCAAAGCATAATAAACAGTTAAATATTTGTGATTTTGACCTAAATAGAATGATATACAGTCAAATCCCCATGAGTCTAATGCTAGCGTTTCGAACATTATGCATAACTCGAAATACCTGTCAGTCCCCACCATTCCCTGTTATAGCTGTCATCATTTGATTTCTGGTTACATGAATTCGTCTCATAACTACACACGATGACTCGAGAATTAAATTTGGTCCCATGATATTTAAACAACAGCAATCTTGTATACATAAGCCGAAGTCAGTCAATGAGAAGTTAATTGGTGTAGCTAACTGATCCAATTACCGTAACAAACCAGCGCGGCTCACACCTTTCTGCCATTGACGGGTGAGTTCAAAAGGCAGATTAGTGATTTTACAGAAACGGAAGAGTTAGCACGTCAAATGTTGTTTTAATCATTGCCGACTTCATACTGTCACAACAAGTCAGCCTTGATGACGTCTGGTTTATTTGTGGATTGGGTAAAATCAAACCACCACCATCGGTATCGGAGGCGCTAAAGTTCTGTCAAGGACTGGAGGAATTTTTCGAGTCGGTCCCAGGTACAAGCAATGAACATTTTTCCCACTTGGCAAGATTTTGTTCATGGATTTTAAGAGGTACATGTACATTGTGCTAGTATTGAAATGTGTTCAAATTTATATACTATTTGTTTTCATTATCTATATCACCTAATGTATTGGTGTGCTATGTTTTGATATGATGTGCTGAATAAAGGAATTGTTCAATATTCGATCATCTTTTTTTTCTACCCTCATAGACATACCTATGTCTTGAATACATTGATAAGTCGAATTTATTACTTGGTCCCCAGCGATTCGACTCATCGGGGACTGACTATCAGCAAACAAAGCATAACAAGTGTTTGCCACTGATATGGCAATGTCCCCGCCCGCTAAAGAATGGAATATCTATATTTACTACTTTTTATTTTGGTCACATAAAAGATGCCTGAAATGCCTGGTGTCTGCATAATCACCCAGGCTGTCAACATAATTGAAAACATTGGGTGCAATGTTTTATGAGATATCGCGTTTAAATAAGTTTGAAAAGCTCAAAGTGTCGTGGTGACCTTGAAGGTAAGGTCAAGGTCACCCAAATCAACTGGTGTCTGCGTAATCCCCTAATGTAGGCTGTCACCAAATTTGAAGACACTGGGTACAACAGTCCATGAGATATCGCGTTAACAAGAGTTTGAAAAGTGGTCAAAGTGTCATGGTGACCTTGAAAATAAGGTCAAGGTCACCGCAATCAACTGGTGTCTGTGTAATTCCCCAATGTAGGTTGTCACCAAATTTGAAGACATTGGATACAACAGTGCATGAGAAATCACGTTAACAAGAGTTTGAAAAGTGAGCAAAGTGTCGTGGTGACCTTGAAGATAAGGTCATGGTCACCAAAATCAACTGGTGTCTGCGTAATCCCCCAATGTAGGCTGTCACCAAATTTGAAGACATTGGATACAACAGTGCATGAGAAATCACGTTAACAAGAGTTTGAAAAGTGAGCAAAGTGTCGTGGTGACCTTGAAGATAAGGTCAAGGTCATCCAAATCGACTGGTGTCTGCGTAATCCCCCAATGTAGGCTGTCACCAAATTTGAAGACACTGGGTACAACAGTCCATGAGATATCGCGTTAACAAGAGTTTGAAAAGTGGTCAAAGTGTCGTGGTGACCTTGAAAATAAGGTCAAGGTCACCAAAATCAACTGGTGTCTGTGTAATTCCCCAATGTAGGTTGTCACCAAATTTGAAGACATTGGATACAACAGTGCATGAGAAATCACGTTAACAAGAGTTTGAAAAGTGAGCAAAGTGTCGTGGTGACCTTGAAGATAAGGTCATGGTCACCAAAATCAACTGGTGTCTGCGTAATCCCCCAATGTAGGCTGTCACCAAATTTGAAGACATTGGATACAACAGTGCATGAGAAATCACGTTAACAAGAGTTTGAAAAGTGAGCAAAGTGTCGTGGTGACCTTGAAGATAAGGTCAAGGTCATCCAAATCGACTGGTGTCTGCGTAATCCCCCAATGTAGGCTGTCACCAAATTTGAAGACACTGGGTATAACAGTCCATGAGATATCGCGTTAACAAGAATCGGGACGTACGTATATACGTACGGACGCCGCTGAATACATAGTCCCCCGTTCCGCGTTGCGGCGGGGGACAAAAATGAGAAATATAAAGCTGACACTGAGGACTGTCTAGCGTGCCCCAGACCTGTGGTTTGATTCATATCATATGGTAAATTAGAGTCTTTGTTGGAGTTAATAAGGTGAACATAAACATGACCTCGAGTAGTATTGGGTACAACAATTTCTTCCATATAGATGGACAATATTTCAGGGTGGCTTCTTGCCCTTTTATCAAATCAAGACAATAGATAAAAGTGATGCATGTCTTAGTTGTTTACCACCTTGATGAAACCCACAGGCACTGGTTGGGTGCTGACAAACCTAGAACTAGAACTGAAATGAACATGGTGGTATAGAAGTAGACTGTGGTAGTACTGACTTGTCACATTGCTGAGATAGAACCTCCGTCTGCTTCTCCAGGTTCTTCTGCACCTTCTGGATCCTGAAACAACATCACCATTAAACAACACCATCATCTACCAGAACAACAGTTGGGGCGACTACCAAGGGTTTTTACAATAGCTAAATTTAAGAGTACAATTCTTACATAGGTACATATATTTCAGTAGGCAGGAAAGTACCGGTGGGAAGAATGAGTTTGGATTGACAATTAAATTCTTTCCCTTGTGTGTTTTGATAGGAAATACACCTACACTGAATCATCCCTAGCTGTTTTCATCATGTAGCCATGAAGTATAATGACAGGTGAATCAACTTTAGCCATTGTCAGGAATGGACCTTTTATGTCATCAGTTCTAAATGAAGACTCCACTAACCACAGCCTACATATACGTTACCTGAAGACATTGAGCTCCACTTCGCTCACAGGGCCAACACGCTTATCTCCCTTCTTGCAGAACTTCACAACCTGGAACAGAGTGAGAGATGATGTAAAGATTGAGCTGGTTTAAACACTGCTTTGAACAATAGTCAGTCACATCCTGGTTTGTGGGTGGGAAGAACAAAGTGAGGCAGATCTTTTGTGTTTACCATGTCATGAAACCCAAAAGGGAATTGTGCTGACTCACTGGATGGATGGATGGATGGTTTAATGGATTTTTCATTGTTATCAATTCATCCTTGTTAGAACTTGTAGAAAATATAGAGAACTTTAAACATACTGCTCATCCCAGTCAGTGTCTGAAATAGCTGCTCGCCTGCTGGGAACATTTGTGTTGGGATAGATCAATGTATTCCTAACTACTGTACTAGTACATGACTAGAACAAGTGTCAGCACTTATAATTGTACACACTTCGACACAGTGTAGAACTACTGTATGTAAATACAACATTTGGTCACTATTACAACATTGGTTACAGTGACATTATCCTAATTTCTCCACCTGAGAAAAATGATAATTTGTTTATTATCTACCTTAGCATGCATTTGGAAATGAAACTTTTGTGTGCAATGTTCATGACTAGTTAAATTAATGATTAACTTGTCCACCTGGCTTGTTGAGAGTAAACAATATTTCAGACACTGATCACTAATGTCAAACTTGAGACTAGCTTTACAATGGTTGCCTGAACCTGAATAACTAGATTTCTCTGTAGTGAATGCCTAATATAGACTACACATACAGTGTCTCTCTCCTTGGTCTGTGTGACCACCACCTTCTTGTCTTGCGCCAGCTGCTGGACAACTAGGTCGAACTCCCTGTCAGATAAGCCAAGTGATGCATGCTGGGAGCGGAGAGCCCCCAGTTCCACCAGGTTGTCAGTGGACTCATGCTCCACAGTGTCGTAGTGGCCACACACCAGCTCATCACACTTCTCCTGAACAACAAACATACTGTCATATTGTTATCATGCTCCACAGTGTCGTAGTGGCCACACACCAGCTCATCACACTTCTCCTGAACAACAAACATACTGTCATATTGTTATCATGCTCCACAGTGTCGTAGTGGCCACACACCAGCTCATCACACTTCTCCTGAACAACAAACATACTGTCATATTGTTATCATGCTCCACAGAGTCGTAGTGGCCACACACCAGCTCATCACACTTCTCCTGTACAACAAACATACTGTCATATTGTTATCATGCTCCACAGTGTCGTAGTGGCCACACACCAGCTCATCACACTTCTCCTGTACAACAAACATACTGTCATATTGTTATCATGCTCCACAGTGTCGTGAGTGGCCACACACCAGCTCATCACACTTGTCCTGAACAACAAACATACTGTCATATTGTTATCATGCTCCACAGTGTCGTAGTGGCCACACACCAGCTCATCACACTTCTCCTGTACAACAAACATACTGTCATATTGTTATCATGCTCCACAGAGTCGTAGTGGCCACACACCAGCTCATCACACTTCTCCTGTACAACAAACATACTGTCATATTGTTATCATGCTCCACAGAGGCGTAGTGGCCACACACCAGCTCATCACACTTCTCCTGTACAACAAACATACTGTCATATTGTTATCATGCTCCACAGAGTCGTAGTGGCCACACACCTAGCTCATCACACTTCTCCTGTACAACAAACATACTGTCATATTGTTATCATGCTCCACAGAGTAATTGTAGTGGCCACACACCAGCTCATCACACTTCCCCTGTACAACAAACATACTGTCATATTGTTATCATGCTCCACAGTGTCGTTAGTGGCCACACACCAGCTCATCACACTTCTCCTGTACAACAAACATACTGTCATATTGTTATCATGCTCCACAGTGTCGTAGTGGCCACACACCAGCTCATCACACTTCTCCTGTACAACAAACATACTGTCATATTGTTATCATGCTCCACAGTGTCGTAGTGGCCACACACCAGCTCATCACACTTCTCCTGTACAACAAACATACTGTCATATTGTTATCATGCTCCACAGTGTCGTAGTGGCCACACACCAGCTCATCACACTTCTCCTGTACAACAAACATACTGTCATATTGTTATCATGCTCCACAGTGTCGTGAGTGGCCACACACCAGCTCATCACACTTCTCCTGAACAACAAACATACTGTCATATTGTTATCATGCTCCACAGAATCGTAGTGGCCACACACCAGCTCATCACACTTCTCCTGTACAACAAACATACTGTCATATTGTTATCATGCTCCACAGTGTCGTGAGTGGCCACACACCAGCTCATCACACTTCTCCTGTACAACAAACATACTGTCATATTGTTATCATGCTCCACAGTGTCGTAGTGGCCACACACCAGCTCATCACACTTCTCCTGAACAACAAACATACTGTCATATTGTTATCATGCTCCACAGAGGCGTAGTGGCCACACACCAGCTCATCACACTTCTCCTGAACAACAAACATACTGTCATATTGTTATCATGCTCCACAGAATCGTGAGTGGCCACACACCAGCTCATCACACTTCTCCTGTACAACAAACATACTGTCATATTGTTATCATGCTCCACAGTGTCGTAGTGGCCACACACCAGCTCATCACACTTCTCCTGAACAACAAACATACTGTCATATTGTTATCATGCTCACACAGAGGCGTAGGTGGCCACACCAGCTCATCACACTTCTCCTGAACAACAAACATACTGTCATATTGTTATCATGCTCCACAGAGGCGTAGTGGCCACACACCAGCTCATCACACTTCTCCTGAACAACAAACATACTGTCATATTGTTATCATGCTCCACAGTGCGTCGGTAAGGGCCACACACCAGCTCATCACACTTCTCCTGAACAACAAACATACTGTCATATTGTTATCATGCTCCACAGAGGCGTAGTGGCCACACACCAGCTCATCACACTTCTCCTGAACAACAAACATACTGTCATATTGTTATCATGCTCCACAGAGGTGTAGTGGCCACACACCAGCTCATCACACTTCTCCTGAACAACAAACATACTGTCATATTGTTATCATGCTCCACAGTGTCGAAGTGGCCACACCAGCTCATCACACTTCTCCTGAACAACAAACATACTGTCATATTGTTATCATGCTCCACAGTGTCGTAGTGGCCACACACCAGCTCATCACACTTCTCCTGAACAACAAACATACTGTCATATTGTTATCATGCTCCACAGAGGTGTAGTGGCCACACACCAGCTCATCACACTTCTACTGTACAACAAACATACTGTCATATTGTTATCATGCTCCACAGTGTCGTAGTGGCCACGCACCAGCTCATCACACTTCTCCTGAACAACAAACATACTGTCATATTGTTATCATGCTCCACAGTGTCGTGTGTGGCCACACACCAGCTCATCACACTTCTCCTGTACAACAAACATACTGTCATATTGTTATCATGCTCCACAGTGTCGTAGTGGCCACACACCAGCTCATCACACTTCTCCTGTACAACAAACATACTGTCATATTGTTATCATGCTCCACAGAATCGTAGTGGCCACACACCAGCTCATCACACTTCTCCTGTACAACAAACATACTGTCATATTGTTATCATGCTCCACAGTGTCGTGAGTGGCCACACCAGCTCATCACACTTCTCCTGTACAACAAACATACTGTCATATTGTTATCATGCTCCACAGTGTCGTAGTGGCCACACACCAGCTCATCACACTTCTCCTGAACAACAAACATACTGTCATATTGTTATCATGCTCCACAGTGTCGTAGTGGCCACACACCAGCTCATCACACTTCTCCTGAACAACAAACATACTGTCATATTGTTATCATGCTCCACAGAATCGTAGTGACCACACACCAGCTCATCACACTTCTCCTGTACAACAAACATACTGTCATATTGTTATCATGCTCCACAGTGTCGTAGTGGCCACACACCAGCTCATCACACTTCTCCTGAACAACAAACATACTGTCATATTGTTATCATGCTCCACAGAGGCGTAGTGGCCACACACCAGCTCATCACACTTCTCCTGAACAACAAACATACTGTCATATTGTTATCATGCTCCACAGACACACCAGTATTGTTATCATGTGGGCCACACACCAGCTCATCACACTTCTCCTGAAGAACAAACATACTGTCATATTGTTATCATGCTCCACAGTGTCGTGAGTGGCCACACACCAGCTCATCACACTTCTCCTGAACAACAAACATACTGTCATATTGTTATCATGCTCCACAGAGGTGTGGCCACACACCAGCTCATCAGACTTCTACTGTACAACAAACATACTGTCATATTGTTATCATGCTCCACAGTGTCACAGTGTACGTGCTCAGTGGCCACGCACCAGCTCATCACACTTCTCCTGAACAACAAACATACTGTCATATTGTTATCATGCTCCACAGTGTCGTAGTGGCCACACACCAGCTCATCACACTTCTCCTGTACAACAAACATACTGTCATATTGTTATCATGCTCCACAGTGTTGTAGTGGACACACACCAGCTCATCACACTTCTCCTGTACAACAAACATACTGTCATATTGTTATCATGCTCCACAGTGTCGTAGTGGCCACGCACCAGCTCATCACACTTCTACTGTACACAAACATACTGTCATATTGTTATCATGCTCCACAGTGTGTCGTGAGTGGCCACACACCAGCTCATCACACTTCTCCTGAACAACAAACATACTGTCATATTGTTATCATGCTCCACAGTGTCGTGTAGTGGCCACACACCAGCTCATCACACTTCTCCTGTACAACAAACATACTGTCATATTGTTATCATGCTCCACAGTGTCGTAGTGGCCACACACCAGCTCATCACACTTCTCCTGTACAACAAACATACTGTCATATTGTTATCATGCTCGACAGACGCAATGTAGGGCTACACACCAGCTCATCACACTTCTCCTGGACAACAAACATACTGTCATTTTGTTATCATGCTCCACAGTGTCGTAGTGGGCCACACACCAGCTCATCACACTTCTCCTGGAACAACAAACATACTGTCATATTGTTATCATGCTCCACAGAGTCGTAGTGGCCACACACCAGCTCATCACACTTCTCCTGTACAACAAACATACTGTCATATTGTTATCATGCTCCACAGTGTCGTAGTGGCCACACACCAGCTCATCACACTTCTCCTGTACAACAAACATACTGTCATATTGTTATCATGCTCCACAGTGTCGTAGTGGCCACACACCAGCTCATCACACTTCTCCTGTACAACAAACATACTGTCATATTGTTATCATGCTCCACAGTGTCGTAGTGGCCACACACCAGCTCATCACACTTCTCCTGAACAACAAACATACTGTCATATTGTTATCATGCTCCACAGTGTTGTAGTGGCCACACACCAGCTCATCACACTTCTCCTGAACAACAAACATACTGTCATATTGTTATCATGCTCCACAGTGTCGTAGTGGCCACACACCAGCTCATCACACTTCTCCTGAACAACAAACATACTGTCATATTGTTATCATGCTCCACAGTGTCGTAGTGGCCACACACCAGCTCATCACACTTCTCCTGAACAACAAACATACTGTCATATTGTTATCATGCTCCACAGTGTCGTGGTGGCCACACACCAGCTCATCACACTTCTCCTGTACAACAAACATACTGTCATGTTGTTATCATGCTCCACAGTGTCGTGAGTGGCCACACACCAGCTCATCACACTTCTCCTGTACAACAAACATACTGTCATATTGTTATCATGCTCCACAGTGTCGTAGTGGCCACACACCAGCTCATCACACTTCTCCTGTACAACAAACATGCTGTCATGTTGTTATCATGCTCCACAGTGTCGTAGTGGCCACGCACCAGCTCATCACACTTCTCCTGAACAACAAACATACTGTCATATTGTTATCATGCTCCACAGTGTCGTAGTGGCCACACACCAGCTCATCACACTTCTCCTGTACAACAAACATACTGTCATATTGTTATCATGCTCCACAGTGTCGTGAGTGGCCACACACCAGCTCATCACACTTCTCCTGTACAACAAACATACTGTCATATTGTTATCATGCTCCACAGTGTCGTAGTGGCCACACACCAGCTCATCACACTTCTCCTGAACAACAAACATACTGTCATATTGTTATCATGCTCCACAGTGTCGTAGTGGCCACACACCAGCTCATCACACTTCTCCTGTACAACAAACATACTGTCATATTGTTATCATGCTCCACAGTGTCGTAGTGGCCACACACCAGCTCATCACACTTCTCCTGTACAACAAACATACTGTCATATTGTTATCATGCTCCACAGTGTCGTAGTGTCCACACACCAGCTCATCACACTTCTCCTGAACAACAAACATACTGTCATATTGTTATCATGCTCCACAGTGTCGTAGTGGCCACACACCAGCTCATCACACTTCTCCTGAACAACAAACATACTGTCATATTGTTATCATGCTCCACAGTGTCGTAGTGGCCACACACCAGCTCATCACACTTCTCCTGGAACAACAAACATACTGTCATATTGTTATCATGCTCCACAGTGTCGTAGTGGCCACACACACCAGCTCATCACACTTCTCCTGTACAACAAACATGCTGTCATGTTGTTATCATGCTCCACAGTGTCGTAGTGGCCACACACCAGCTCATCACACTTCTCCTGTACAACAAACATACTGTCATATTGTTATCATGCTCCACAGTGTCGTAGTGGCCACACACCAGCTCATCACACTTCTCCTGTACAACAAACATGCTGTCATGTTGTTATCATGCTCCACAGTGTCGTAGTGGCCACCACCGCCAGCTCATCACACTTCTCCTGAACAACAAACATACTGTCATATTGTTATCATGCTCCACAGTGTCGTGGTGGCACACACACCAGCTCATCACACTTCTCCTGTACAACAAACATACTGTCATATTGTTATCATGCTCCACAGTGTCGTGGTGGCCACACACCAGCTCATCACACTTCTCCTGTACAACAAACATACTGTCATATTGTTATCATGCTCCACAGTGTCGTAGTGTCCACACACCTCAGCTCATCACACTTCTCCTGAACAACAAACATACTGTCATATTGTTATCATGCTCCACAGTGTCGTAGTGGCCACACACCAGCTCATCACACTTCTCCTGTACAACAAACATGCTGTCATATTGTTATCATGCTCCACAGTGTCGTAGTGGCCACACACCAGCTCATCACACTTCTCCTGTACAACAAACATACTGTCATATTGTTATCATGCTCCACAGTGTCGTAGTGTCCACACACCAGCTCATCACACTTCTCCTGTACAACAAACATACTGTCATATTGTTATCATGCTCCACAGTGTCGTAGTGGCCACACACCAGCTCATCACACTTCTCCTGAACAACAAACATACTGTCATATTGTTATCATGCTCCACAGTGTCGTAGTGGCCACACACCAGCTCATCACACTTCTCCTGAACAACAAACATACTGTCATGTTGTTATCATGCTCCACAGTGTCGGAGTGGCCACACACCAGCTCATCACACTTCTCCTGAACAACAAACATACTGTCATATTGTTATCATGCTCCACAGTGTCGTAGTGGCCACACACCAGCTCATCACACTTCTCCTGAACAACAAACATACTGTCATATTGTTATCATGCTCCACAGTGTCGTAGTGGCCACACACCAGCTCATCACACTTCTCCTGAACAACAAACATACCGGTACTGTCATATTGTTATCATGCTCCACAGAGTCGTAGTGTCCACACACCAGCTCATCACACTTCTCCTGAACAACAAACTTACTGTCATATTGTTATCATGTTTATATTTACACTAACACATAAACCCTGTTTACAGATTGCTTAAAAAGGTTTAACGACAATTCAACAAACCTCAAAAGCTAAAATATTACAGCTCATGTTTGCTTGGCGTATACAGTTCCCATCTCTGAGTGAGTGAGTTTAGTTTTATGCCGCACTCAGCAATATTCCAGCTATATGACGGCGGTCTGTAAATAATCGAGTCTGGACCAGACAATCCAGTGATCAACCTCATGAGCATCGATCCACGCGATTGGGATACGATGACATGTGTCAACCAAGTCAGCGAGATTGACCACCGGATCCCGTTAGTCGCCCCTCACGACAAGCATGGCTTACTGAAGACCAATTCTAGTTTGGATCTTCGTGGGTCCCCATCTCTGAAGGAAAGCATACTTGCAAAGTGTAATTAAAGAGATAAAGATGAAACAACTATGGGTTATCAGAACCTGATAACACGATGAAAAAAAGCTTGGCTCATAGATCTAATATTTTGATGAGAAGGTGTTTTAATACCATTAGCAGCTGATGCAGAACCCGAGGCTCCGAACTGTCTTCAGACTTCCTCCACACCACCCCGAGACCCCAAGACATGGGCTGCCACACAAATGTGTTGAAGCCCCACCCCAACCAGCTGGAGTTCCCTGCTTTCTGATAGTAGGACAGCTTGTGTAACTTGCCACTTCTGCAAATTGAAATAAAACACATTAATGTGTAATGTTAAACATTATCTTGAATGCATTAGATGTAATTATTTTCAGTTTTCCAGAATCATAATGAATGTTTCTTCACATTTGGGAAACATATTCCTGAACTAAAGGACAAACACTTCCTCATCCTCAGCCATATCAGCATTAACATGAAGCGTAACAGACTTAGTGCTGTGTCAGTAATTACATGAGGTTCTTGTGTCTTTACGCTTTGCTAATACAGAATTTTTATCTCAGGGAACCCTGAAACTCTGAATTTTACATCAGGGTTATGATACAGATAACTTTATCTTTCAATGTCTAATAGTAACACATTAACTAATTGCTTGTTGTCAGACACTTGTAAACATGACTTTATACTAACCAAGTTTGAATCTGACTAAGTGCATGAAACAATGCATGAAACAGATTATCATAATGATTATACTAGTACATGTGTCATACTGATTTAACAAAATGTGTTCCACGATTTCTGTATTTCCAAACAAGAGAGGAAATGCCATTATTGTTTCACAGGTTTTTTGAAATCAGTGAGACACACATGTGTAAATGTCTTCATTACAATTTACTTCTTTTTGTAGTATGATGCCATTCCAACCTTAGTCATGATTCAAAGATGTCCACATTGCAGTCTGGATGATAACTAACAGTACTCCGGTGTGCATATATATATATATAGGGTTACAACGAAGATGAATTTCTCCACTAACTTTGGGGAACCAACTGCAAACTTAATGCAGATGAGGATCACATGCATCAAATTGCTGAAAAGCATGTGCAAATATTGTGCATGTGAACAGCTGCGTTTTGGTGTAAAGTTTTGTTAAGAATTCGCCAATTTTCACTGAGTTTCATCATTTATTGAACTCATGACAATAATATTTTCAATGTTACGAATTTGTTTTACAATACATCAGTTCAAGTGTAAACAGTACCTTTAAACAGTAAGAAATATTTAGCAAAATCTAGTTTAGAACAGTTGACTGAAGTAAGTGGCCACATTTACAGTAAATTACACTAGCATGTCTAAACTTTTGATGGGTAGTATATAAATACTGATAGAGGCTGCATGGCTTCCATCATTTATCACTGCATGCTTTGAGACATTTTAACAAAAGAGACACAGTGTTCAAGAAGTTCTCATTAGTCGGCTTTCTTGCTAACATTATCAACGATAATCATATTAGCATGCCCAAACTGTGCACTTCGGCAAGGGTCCATTTTTTATTCTATGGCCACAACAGTTATTTTACTATTGTATACTATCCGTTATATTAGTATGGCCCCACTGTGCACGTCGGCAAGGGAGATCACTCCACATTACAAGCAAAAACATGGTCCAGTTCTACACATGAGAGGTGATGCTGTTTCAGTAAAGTTTCGCGGTCCAGGAATACATTGAATACAGCATCATGCATTGGATAAGTGAGTGTGCAAAAAAGAATACGCACAATTTGGGGAGTGCACAGTAGGGAACTTCCACAGGAAAAAGAGAAGAGTAAAGTGTCTTTGAATGCTGGTGTATCACAAAACCCATGAATACTTTATGAGCGGGACACTTTACAGCACACACATTTTTAAAATTCATTTTGTGCCACTTAGAGGATCGAACTGAGCATATGCCAGCTTCAAGCTAAGCTTGAGGCTAAGCTTGGCTAACTACTTAATCTAATTAGCCCACACACTACCACATGCACTATCACAATAATTTATGCTTGTTAACCAAGTCATCAGCACCTGATTGATTTCCTTTTCTTGCATACGCAGTAGGGGTAAGGCTGAAAGCGTAAAGGGGTGCCTTAGCCTAATGATTGTAACTTATGTAAGGGGTGCCTAATTGGAAAGGTGAATTGAATAAGGAGAGCATTGAGTGTACCCTAACCGTAAGGATTGAAAGCATGAGCCGGGTAAACTGCATTCTTACCCCATACCCCTTCCCCTACAAAACAATTTTTATAAATTAAATCTTTATTTCACTGATGTGTTGACTTTCTGTTGACTTGTTCAAGTTGTAGCCACGTTTGATCTGATCAATCCCATCACTTGCCCTTTACCTTTGCATTTCTGCTCCAACAACATCAAGACAGCCAGGTTTTTTCCCATTTCGCACAAAACGACTTTGTAGTTCCTTCACATCAACAATTATACGGTTATTCTGTCGACAATCTTCACTGATGACATGAGTCCAAAATTTCAACTTTCTGTCCCATGATTGTGGGTTGAGAGATCTGTCGCGGAAAGGCGCAAACAACACTGTCATCTTCTGATCGTCCTTCCATTCCGGAGGCAGGAATAACTTGTCAGTTGACATCATCAAGCTTTGTGGTTTATCTAACCATCTAATCGCATTAGAGATGGATTATCACCACAAGAACAGTCAATTAATCCATCGTTCCAACAACCACATTGCAATGTTGTCATTTGCGAATTTCCCTTCGTACTGTTAACCTAAAACAAATACAACTTACATTTTAATGTCGCAACAATTAAGTGTGATACAATAAACTCAATTGAGAATTATTCCTTATACTAAAATGTACATGAACTTACATATTTGTTTATCAATATTTTAAAAATTATGGTGAATTTGCGGTAGTCAGTCTTACTAAATATTTACCTTATGTTATACGTTTTGAGGATAGTAGTATGTACGAGAACCGCGGAAGTCACGCGGACAACTGACGTAACGCGTGACGTTAGCGAGAATTTGTGAATTGGTCATATCTTACTAGACATTGTGATGTATGATAACCCCCTGCTTAGAGTTTTTTATTTAGAAAGTTCGTCTTTCTGGACTATACCATTGTAACTACCATCTTCAGGATGAATTCTCTTCGAAGATGGCTTTACAGGCCGAAGGTAAGCAAATGCGTGGCCACAATGACCGCTCAGACTTAGTTCTCTTGCGCACCTGTCTGTTTGGAAGTCCATTTTATTTGTTTACAGAAAAGATAATTGTTTGGCCCTGATGTTATTTGATATCTTAAGTGTTGGTGTCACTAATGAAACCAATCTCTGTTATCTTTTAAATGTTTGTAAGCCCCTCCATGATATTTTAATCTCATGATAATAAATAGGTTTTCATTGTTTATTTGTTGGTGAAATGGCCTAGTTTTGGGATACTTTGGATATGCATCAACAACTTTGGGCTTTGATAATGGTAGACTGAAGCATGACTATGTCGATCGTCTGTACATCGTGAATGTAAAGGTCAGCTTCTTTAGACCACACCCAAATCATCTGAATCAAAGTTGTAGGATGATTTAAATAATCAATATCAAATATATGAGATTCACCTCTGTAAGGTTCTTGTGTTAGATGTAAGGCATGAGGCGTGATTGACCATGAATCACTATGACTCGTCATTGTTATGTTTTTCACCAGTGTGTTAGTTTTTTCCACAAAGTCTGTATCTATTGTAATGGATTACATCCATTATATATTTTTGGAATTGGTGTCATAAACATATATTTGTCATAGATTTAAAACTTTACCTTATTCATGACACTGTTTTCCTTGTTATATTTCATCCTTACTTTTTGTGCTTATATCTCAAACTGAAGTCTGTTTCTTTTCATTAAACATGACAAAACATGTTCAGGAGCATAGATCCATGAATACGAAAGTTCAAATATGTATTCATGAATTTGTGATGTCTATGTGTTAGAGAGGTTAACATTGTTAGTAACTGGTAACTGTATAAAACATTCGGAATTATACATATGGAATATTTCATATATGATTTTGTTAACAGATATTAAATTTCGAACGTTATGAATATTCTTATCTGAACAAGTTTATAACAATCCTGCTTGGTTTGTATGTATAGTTTTAGACCAAATGCCTCAGGTATTTCCATGGTTTTAGTATATGTGAAGTGATAATTTTGTGATTGAAATACTGAAAAGTCATAATGCAAGTCCTGTGGTGTTTGGTCAAGACCACAATAAATATGCAGTGGTTCTGATTTCATCAATGTGTTAATTAGTGTAGGTGTGTAGGGATTTTGTGTGTGTTTTTAAATAATATACGTCTGTATATTAAGCATGTTAAGATAGCAACGATTGTAAAACTGAATCTAAATACTGTGTATGATTTTATGATATACTGAATCTTATGGGATATATGAATTTATCTAAAAAACAAATAATTGCATTGAAAGAGTGGTGGATAAATGTCTTGTATACCTATATGTCTTCAAGCTTCTTATAATAATTTTACATTTACTGGTCACCATATCAGCATTGATTGACCTGTCACATGATCAATTTTGACCTTGCAAGATAACACAAACATTACAAGTATGTACAGGTCCACCTCTCTATCTTTGAAAGGTTGAAATCTTGACTTTCTGTCTTCAAGGAAGTCATGTACATATAACACACTGTCCAAGTGTCAGAACCTTTCTGTTTATGTTACTTATGAGAATCATCAAACTTACTATGCATTTAAATTAACCCACAGTAAAATTAACCCGAGTATTTTCAACTCAGATTGTGTCGAGTATGCAAGATTTCTTTGTCAGTGTAATCCCTGGGTGAGGGACACCAGAAATGTGTTTCATGCATTAGTGAATCGAACATTTAGCATGACTGCTTTAATCAGCAAAATATCGTATTGCTGTCAAGTCTACTGTTGGGATGAAATGACTACAGGTGTTTGATTTAACTGTGATAAAATATTGCCAGGGTTCGAAATAACCAATATATTAATGTGCCATGGCACGGTAAATATTGAAATGGCACGGATGAAAATTTTCTCAGTGCCCTTATGGCACGCCTAATTTGTTAGACACATAACTCACCTTTGGTCATTTAATCCCCAAAGACATTGCCCAGGAAGTCCCTGGCACTGGAATTATGATGGATGATGTAAAGAAATCTGGTTGTTTTAGAGGGAGTACTGATAGTTTGGTTATCGAAGAGGAAATTGTGTATTCTAAAAACATGTGGGCACACTTGATTTCTGGAAGGCACATTTAAAATATTTGCCTGGTGCCTTAAGGCACACTTAGAGAAAAAAGTATTTCTATCCCTGATTGCCAAATTAGTGCAGTTGTGGTCCACATATATAAGGCACAGAAATTAGTATGCAGATATGTGTCCTTCATGTTCCATAGTTCATTATAAAAAACCCATGTAACATGTGTTTCAACAGAAATGAGAGAAATGTCTACTCAAAAAGTAAAGGCAAAATGTGTCTTGATAAGCGAACATTAGCTTTCGTCACCCTTCACTTATGGATGATATATCCAGCAGGAAAGATTGTTTAGCTTGATTATTGGGTTGTCTCAGTGTCATTGTACTCGGGTTGGGGGAAATCTTGTGAGACAGACTGATTTGAGTGCCCAGGTGTAGTCTCCAGTACATTACCTCACTGCCTGTCTGCATGAATGTGATATATGTCGAGCAATTATCAGCAATTACCCATAACCTCCAAAACTGAATGACACTGTTGTCACCTTGGATCGATGACCTGGTGATACTCAGCACTAGTAATAGTAGTATAAAGACATATTTTTGCTATTGGGCACATGTCAACAGTTGTCTAAGATGCTACAATTCACTATGCAAAGTTGGGCCTAGTAGCTGGGCTTCTGACAGTAATCCATGGTTGTGTGTTCAAACATAGTTTGTCTGCACTGGATCCATCCTTATTTGCTTTCCTCCCAAATAAAACTGACAATGTTCAGCACATTGTTTAGATCCAGTTGTAGCACATACCCTTAATGTGTTCAAACAATCTGCCACCCCATGGGAAATTTTGTCCGAACAGAATCAGTGAGTGAGTGAGTACGATTTTACGCTGCTTTTAGCAATATTACAGAAATATTGTGGCGGGTAAGACAAAATCAGCCTGTGATGGTTGTAAGAAGGTTACGTAGGGGATTGAGTTGTCAGACTTGCTGACTTGGTTGATGTATGTTACTGTATCCCAATAGCATAGATCGAAGCTGATATCAATCGCTGGATTGTCTGGTTCGGACTAGGATAATTATAGGCAGCTCACAGGTAGTTTGAATGATGTTAAACAAACAAACAAACAAATGTAAGAGGTGAGTAGATGGATCCGGTGGTGAGGCTTGGTGATGCGGATGACTGTGTATTGTCTATGGTCATAGACTCATACCATGTAAGGGATCATTGCTCATAACATCAATCACTTGATTGTCAGGTCCAAAGTTTTATATATTTACAGGCAACCATGATCATATTCCTTCAGTGTTGCAGAGTGCAGTGTTGCACAAAGACAGTCAATCTGCCATTTTCTTCATATGGTTGACTGACAAGCTTTTTTCGTCTGTTCCAGAGGACAGACACCTCTCTGCTGGCCCAGTTCTTCTATTCCGACGAGGATCTGAACATGGTGGCTGCAGAGCTGGATAGTTTTGATGGTCGCAAGGACCCGGAACGTTGCACAGCACTGGTGAACCAGCTGCGGGCCTGTCAGGACAAGGTCCTCACTGCCATACAGAACATCATGGAGGACGCAGTCCCGGGACAAAGAGCCAGTCGGGACTTCCGTTGTAAATTTCCCGATGATGTTATCCAGGAAAACCTTGCTGGCCAGCTATGGTTTGGGGCAGAGGTGAGAGATGATAACATGTTTGTGCCACTCACTTGTCTCAATCTTCAGTTTTGTTGTGATTTCAAAGTAGCCTGAAGAATGAATTTGTTTTTGATGTGTTTTCATCATATTCAATGAAATGGCAAATGTAATTTATTTAATCTACATGCTGAACATCAGCATTTGACATTTTAGATGTTTCACTTATGTCCTGTTACTTTTCCATTTGATATGAACAATGTGATCAGCTTTATCAGTTGTTCTCCTTTTCATAGCTGACAACCTTTCAGTGGGTTTTCTCCTCTTGGGTCTACTGGTATTGTCAATGTGTCACTCATTGCAGACAATGTAGACACCTTTTTATCCTGTATGTGAAAGCAGCCATAAATCTTAAACATGTGCATGGAACTGGGATTTACTGAATCTGTGTACCACATCTCATGTTACAAATTATTATTTATCTATGTATTGCAGTGTATCTTGATTTCAATAATTTTGTCATATACACTGTATGTTACTATGTTGGCTCACCACTTAGAAAAAGAAGCATTTTTGCAGGTCAGTTTATCAGTTCAAAACTGATTGTCTATGATGGAAAGCTACTGGTTGGGAACAAGACATTGAGGAATGGAGATACTAATTACATGTTATAAGATGCACAATGCATGCAAATTTAGGGAAATTATTTGGATATTTTAGGAGTTCTTTATTTCCAAAATTCTGATGTATTTTGTTGTTGTATTTAGAGCTGTAAAGTAAAACTAAATATTGATGGCGCATGTTCAATGGTTCATTATCAGTGTACAGAAATTACCTCCACAATGTAATTACATGAGTAAACAGGGAAATTGTCTTGTCAAGTGAATGTCAATGGCTATATCTTGGTGTAATGTCATATGGATATCAGTGGTTATATCTTGGTGTAATGTCATATGGATGTCAGTGGCTATATCTTGGTGTAATGTCATGTGGATGTCAGTGGCTATATCATGGTGTAATGTCATGTGGATGTCAGAGGCTATATCTTGGTGTAATGTCATGTGGATGTCAGTGGCTATATCTTGGTGTAATGTCATGTGGATGTCAGAGGCTATATCTTGGTGTAATGTCATGTGGATGTCAGTGGCTATATCTTGGTGTAATGTCATGTGGATGTCGGTGGTTATATCCTGGTGTAATGTCATGTGGATGTCGGTGGTTATATCCTGGGATGTCATGTCAATGTGGATGTCAGTGGCTATATCTTCATGGTGTAATGTCATGTGGATGTCAGAGGCTATATCTTGGTGTAATGTCATGTGGATGTCAGTGGTTATATCCTGGTGTAATGTCAAGTGGATGTCATTGGCTATATCCTGCTGTAATGTCATGTGGATGTCAGAGGCTATATCTTGGTGTAATGTCATGTGGATGTCAGTGGCTATATCTTTGTGTAATGTCATGTGGATGTCAGAGGCTATATCCTGGTGTAATGTCATATGGATGTCAGAGGCTATATCTTTGTGTAATGTCATGTCAGTGGCTGGGATGTCAATGTCATGTGGAGGCAGTGGCTATATCTTGGTGTAATGTCATATGGATGTCAGTGGTTATATCCTCTTGTCATGTAATGTCATGTGGATGTCAGTGGCTATATCCTGGTGTAATGTCATGTGGATGTCAGTGGCTATATCTTGGTGTAATGTCATGTGGATGTCAGTGGCTATATCCTGGTGTAATGTCATATATCTTGGATGTCAGTGGCTATATCTTGGTGTAATGTCATGTGGATGTCAGTGGCTATATCCTGGTGTAATGTCATGTGGATGTCAGAGGCTATATCTTGTGTGTAATGTCATGTGGATGTCAGAGGCTATATCTTGGTGTAATGTCATGTGGATGTCAGTGGCTATATCTTGGTGTAATGTCATATGGATGTCAGTGGCTATATCTTGGTGTAATGTCATGTGGATGTCAGTGGTTATATCCTGGTGTAATGTCATGTGGATGTCAGTGGCTATATCTTGGTGTAATGTCATGTGGATGTCAGTGGCTATATCTTGGTGTAATGTCATGTGGATGTCAGTGGCTATATCTTGGTGTATCCTGTCATCATGGATGTCAGTGGCTATATCCTGGTGTAATGTCATGTGGATGTCAGTGGCTATATCTTGGTGTAATGTCAGTGGCAATGTCATATGGATGTCAGTGGCTATATCTTGGTGTAATGTCATGTGGATGTCAGTGGCTATATCTTGGTGTAATGTCATGTGGATGTCAGTGGCTATATCTTGGTGTAATGTCATGTGGATGACAGTGGCTATATCCTGGTGTAATGTCATGTGGATGTCAGTGGCTATGTCATTAGCTCTAGCATGTCTATCTTGATGTCGTTGCACAACAGCTTTTTCTTTGGGATTGCAGTGTTTGTTATTGATTTGTGTAGCCTTTGTCTTTGCATATCAGGTTGTGTTTAACTTTCAGTCATTGCACATGATTAATGCAGCATAAAGGTCACCCATGCATTCAAACTGTCTCACTGGTCTCCAGTTCTCCTGTGTCATGTTTAACCATAGGTTATATCTTTCTTACAACCATATTCCATGTCAAAAGATTGGGTGGCACTTAGTGCTGTGTACTGTTAGCCTTCTAGTACCTCACAGGCTGCATAGGTTGTACACTCCTCAGGGTGTTGAGAACAAAGACCCATCCTGAGTGACCATAATAATAAGGTCTATCATAGTCTAAGTACACTTATTTAGGTATTAATTGGAAAGTACACCATGCAGTTGATAAAAGCTATGATATAATGTAATATGATGTCATGAATATCACTGTCTAAATGAGATTGGAATCTGTCATGGTAAACCTGACCGTCTGTACAGATTCATGAAATCGCTGATGGGTAGTAAGGACGAAGACCAACTTCCTAAATCAAGTAATGACACTCTTCTTTGCAGACACTTTCAACAAATTCTTTATGTCAAAGATAGAGATGATAAGGGACTCTCTGATATCTACATCTCCAGACAATGAGGTAGATGAAAGTCCTACTTTCAGTGGACATATTCTCAGTAACCTGGAGCCTTTCACAGATAAGGAGGTCAAATCACTGGTAATGGGAGCTAAGCCTACAGGTGAATCTGATCCAATGCCGACGAAACATGTGAAACACATGGACTTGCTCATTCCTATAATCACTGAGATTGTGAACAAGAGCCTATAATTAGGTGTATTTCTAGAAGCTTTTAAGAATTCCTTTGTTCGACCACTACTAAAAAAAGCGCGACCTTGAGAAGTCTAAGCTAAAAAACTTCCGTTCAGCATCCACGGTAGTTTTCCTCTCCAAAATCGTGGAGAAGGCTGTCAGTGTGAGGCTGAAGAACCATCTGACAAGGTGTGACCTAGTGGACAAGTACAAGTCTGCATACCGGGAACATCACAACACTGAGACAGTTCTTATACGTGTCAGTGATTTCCTGAGGCAAATTGGGCGGTGGGGTAGCCTAATGGTTAAAGCGTCTGCTCGTCATGCCGAAGACCCGGGTTCGAATCCCCACATGGGCACAATGTGTGAAGCCCATTTCTGGTGTCCCCCGCCGTGATGTTGCTGGAATATTGCTAAAAGCGCCTAAACCAAACTCAGTCAGTCAGTCCTGAGGCAAATTGTAGATAGAGGGGATGCAGGGGCCTTGATACTCCTAGATCTATCATCGGCCTTTGACACTATAGATCACAGTGTCCTGCTGCTGTTCCTCAAAACAAGATATGGAATCTCTGGTACAGCCCTCCAGTGGATTGTGTCCTATCTCCATAACAGATGCCAATGTGTGACCATCGGGAACAAGACATCAGAGAGCGTTACAGTACCACACGGTGTGCCACAAGGCTTCGTATTGGGTCCACTGTTGTTTGTTCTGTACACTGGTCCAGTTGCTGACATCATCTCAACTCACAATCTGCAGCACCATTCATATACAGATGATAACCAACTCATCGGTCTAGCTGGGTTTTTTTGACGGTACAAGACACATCAAATCTTGGATGACAAATCATATGCTGAAACTAAATGACACTGAGACCAAAGCTCTTCTGATTGGATCCAAACAACTGCTGTCCCCACCAGATCTGTGACAATGGCTGATGCTGTCGTCCCTGTCTGTTCCACTTCAAAAGATTTCGATGGAAGCTCAAGTCTCTCAGATCTGCAAAACCTGCCACTTTCACTTTCGTTCCATCAGTAACATCCGTCCTATCTCTCAGTGGATGCTACCCATGCCTTGGTCAGAGCCCTCATAACCTCAAGATTGGATTATTGCAACAGTGTATTGTTTGGCATTCATCAGAAACTCTGTGACAGACTCCAGAAAATCCAAAATACTTCAGCCCGCATCATTTATCGTCTCCCTAAACACTGCCATATCAAGCCAGTACTGAAGGAGCTTCACTGGTTGCCCATCAAAGCCAGTATTGAGCATACTGTGTCTGACCTACAAAGCCAAGCATGGTCTTGCTCCCCAGTACTTGTCTAAGATGTTGTCATCATACACTAGTACACGCAATCTTCGTTCAAACAGCCAGGATCTGCTCACTGTGCCCAGCTTCAGACTGAAAACTTTTGGACAGCGTTTTTTCACCTATGCAGCCCCTACTCTCTGGAACTCTCTTCCTTATGACCTAAAAACTATTGACAATTTCGACTTGCTCAAGTCCAAACTTATAACCTACTTCTTCCAGCAGTATCTCCCTTTTAGTGCTCTTGTAGTACTTCTGTACATATAGTATGACCAGAAATTATTGAGAATTTTAGGAATATGTTTAATTGGATTTCTAGTATAAACAACCTTGACCAGCTATCAAGTGCTTGGTTTCATTCAAAAGAGACAACTCTGTGAATCCTTTTTCATTAGTTTGTGAAGAGTTATCCCCCTTTGTTTACTTGCTAGCAGATGACATTTTCAGTGATCCTCAGTATGGATGATTTAGAGAAGAGGAAGTTGATATTAGAGTATTATAACAAGGACATCAGATCAGCTAATGTGATTTCAAGTAGAACAGGCATCCCTTTGTCCACTGTTTATCGTGTTTTGAAAAATATTGCAAATGGATATGGCATTGAGCACCAGGGAGGCGCAGGTAGGCCCAGAATATTGACTGTCAGTGACAGGAGGCGGCTTGGTATTCTTGTTTCTAAAAACATACAAAGGAGTTTAGAATAGGTAAGGCTGGAAATGATTGACAGAGAAACTGTGGCTGTCTGTAGGGAGACAATTAGAACTGAGCTGCATGTAATGTAATGGTTTGGCAGAAAGTCCAGGAATTCCATCACCAATCATGAAACCTGAACAAAAGGAGCGAAGGTTGAACTGGTGCTTACAGCATAGAAATTTTAACTGGGACAATGTGATTTTCTCAGATGAAAGTTCTGTGTGGCTGTTTCCTAATACACTGAAATTCGGGACCAATCAAACTGAAAAACCTTTGTATCAGCGCCCAAAGTACAGTCCGAAATTTAACTTGTGGGGTGGCATATCTGTGTTAGAGGCAACGCCCCTCTGTGTATTTGAAGGGAATATGAACAGTGAGCGGTACACAGATATTCTCGAGGGACATTTACTTCCATCTGCTCACATGTTCTATGGAATTTTTTTGATTTTCCAGCAGGACAACGACCCAAAACATCGTTCAAAGCAGTCACGTGCCTGGTTTCGGACCCAAAATATGACATTATTAGATTGGCCAAGCTATAGCCCTGACCTAAATCCAATAGAAAATATTTGGGGACTTATGAAGGAAAGTGTCAATAAGAAAAATCTGACAAATATTGCTGAAATGAAAGAAGAGATGGTCTGATATTGGGACAACATGGACCACGACTTTCTAACTTCTTTGATCAGTTGTATGCCACGCCGCATTGAAGCCAGCATTGCTGCCCATGGTGACTTGACAAAATACTAACTGTTCACCTGTGTTTGAATCTGGAGTTATGTTCTGCTAATATTCACATTTAATACGTGAGTAATGAGTAAAAAAATTTTAAAAAATTACAATCTTTAAATTCTCATTAATTTCTGGTTATACTGTATGTACATATTTGACTCTGTAGCGCCTTGAGCATGTCTGTTGAGGTGGATTGGGTGCACATATAAATATGCATTATTATTATTATTTTGAATATATGAATGTCTCCTATATTAAGCCATGCTATGATACAGGTTGTAACACTCGAGGTACCATGATATGCTCATTGTGTATCACAATCAGGGTCCACCTACACAATGCCATCTTAGCGCAGTGACTATCTTAGGTCTCTGTTAGATAATCATGATAATGGTTGATACGATAATGGTAAATCTAAGATCACTTTGTGGAGGTGGGCCCTGGACTTCAGCTTGAATCTCTTATATCAGCCACTGTAGATTTTCCAGCAGTCATATTTCACTCAATAAGTGCCTGTAATACTTATGTGGCATATAATGTCTGAAAATATCCAGTTTGTTGTTAAAGATATCCTGGTAGGGAGTTGCATCAGTCCTGAATATGATCTTTGGTCCGTGGTTAAACCTTCCTTCATCACCCTCGGCCGATCTGGTACCGCATGGTGTCTTCATCCCATTACCCACCCGTGAAGGTCCGGGTTAGAATATTGATCTTCAGTAACCCATGCTTGTCGTAAGAGGCGACTAACGGGATAGGGTGGTCAGCCTCACTGACTTGGTTGACATATGTCATCGGTTCCCAATTGCGTAGATCGATGCTCATGCTGTTAATCACTGGATTGTCTGGTCCAGACTCTATTATTGACAGACCGCCGCCATATAGCTGGAATATTGCTGAGTGTGGCGTAAAATAAACTCACTCACTCACTCATCACATTACTCTGGCAGGTGCTTGTCATTAAAACAAGGACTGTTTGTCTCAGAGTCGGTCTACTTTGTCTAGGTGAGATGTCCTTGTGGCACCGCTCTGTGGGCTAGCACTAGGTAACTAGCATTAATCACAGCCACACATCCAAGTGCACACACACACATGCATGTAGTTTTGTAGGTGTAGTAATTAGGGGTGGGCGTTAATACCGGTTAACTGGTATTTTCCAATTCGAACTTCACTTTTAGCGAACCGGTTCTCCTGATAGGATCGGTCATTTTCGCGATGTAGTCAAAAGTACTAATAACATTTGTATGTCCTTTATATTATTATATATTGATAGTTTTGAGAAAGTTTATTGGTCATATAATGGCATTTGCGTGACTTTATAACCATATAAATGAAAAAAAACCAACTGGTTCTGGCACTTGTTGTACGGATAAACAAACCAAAATGGCATAAGGCGGGTAAAATAGAGCTATTTTTGGTTTCATGAATTCTCTTGAACTTTCGATACAATGCTCAATTATAATACTTCACAGAATAAATGTTGTATTTCAACATTAAGGAAACGTCTTTGTTCACCCTTCAACATCAACACAAGACAGATACATTTTCATTGTATCTATCAGCGTGGGTCACATGACTAGTAGCATGATCTTGTAAGGTGGGATGTCAACTAAGCAGACAAAACATTAAATAATGGCATCTTTGGAGTAAAGATTTAGGATTTTTGTGCATTCGATTTTGAGGTAGATATTGCATTAAGGATCCCTGAGTTAAAATTATCTTTTGTGGGTTTTTATACTGTTCCCTACGCAGGGAAACTTGATTTGTAGCATATTGATGTCAGACCAATAGCGGGGATCGCCTTGTTGTCATTTGGGATGCTCCTCATGGATTTTCTTGCATTATTGCACTATAAACGGGAATTGTAATGGCCGATCGAAAACATATGCCGATCGGAAACGTAAGACGATAGGATACTTTACGCTGCAAATGTAAGTAACTTGCTAGCGTTAACAATTGACACATACTGACAACAACCCAGAAGTTAGTTCGGTAACGTAGGTATTTGACTAGGAAATGACTGTCCAAATGATTATAATTGGTCAATTATAGATCTGACACTAGCGATTATCGATGTGACAAAACGTAATGATAACCAGCTCTAAACTCACTCACTCACTCAGCTTAAGCGGCGTAAAACAAAACTACTCACTCAGCTTAAGCGATGTAAAACGAACCTACTCATTCATTCACTCACTTACTCACTCACTCAGCTTAAGTGGCGTAAAACGAAACTCATTCACTCACTCACTTAGCTTAAGCAACGTAAAACAAAACTACTCAGACTATGGTGGATGTTGGCTAGATGGACGGTGGTGATTGTTGAATGTTATGGCCAGTGTTGAATGTTTCAGTGTCTGGCAGCGGGATCGAGCATCATGAACCGAGAGGCTGAGAGTGCCAGCATGCGACCTCTGGCACGTGCACTAACCAAGATGCTGGACAGCCTTAGGACCATCCTGAGGGAGCAGTGTCTCAAGAATATACACGAGTACACAGACAGGGTATGTCAACATTACTGCTTTATGTTGAATAGAAGATATGTGACGAAAAACATAAAAGGGTCTGGCCTTTGTGAGGAAACAACTGTTACAGTCTGAATGATAATTTGATGATAACCTACATAAGATGTGACTAAAGAAATGATGACCCTTCAACATTCCTGTATTGTCGATGTAGAGATCAATGGCTTTATGGGTATTGATATACACTTCCTGTGTTGGAGAGAAGTTCATCACCTGCACAACTGTAATACTGTATCCCACGAATCAATAATCTGCTGTTCAGGCTTTTGATTACACAGTGCAATTATTAATTCATCACCAATAATGTCCTCTCAGTTAAGTATTTCTATAACATTTACTGACTTCAAACATCACCATGACTATTGTCTTCTGTTTTCCTACCTGATATTGATGGATCTTTTCTTTCAGATCAAAGAAGCACTTATTATATTCGACAAACTGTTTGCCGAATTTGAGCTCAGGTTGGTATGAATTCTTCTCTTGATAGTGACTGAGGGAGTTTAGTTTTATGCCACACTCAGCAATATTCCAGCAATATGGCGGCAATCTGTAAATAATCGAGTCTCTGGACCAGACAATCCAGTGATCAACAGCATGAACATCGATCTACACAATTGCCTCTTGCGACAATCATGGGTTACTGAAGACCAGTTCTAACCCAGATCTTCACCAGTGGACTTTTGATAGTATAAATAGAATAAGTCTGTCTTGCTAGGACAATATGGCATGTATCCGTTTCCTAAAAAATGATTACAATACTGGCCCTCAACAGACCCTAATGGTATTAAAAGGATAAAACTGAGTCATCGGTTGTAAGTTCATGCAACATACTTAGATACATGGGCTGCAACACAGCCACTGTGAAATATGATATGTATCACAAATATTGGGTAAAGAATACGGATATTAGGTAATGAATATGATATCAAGTAAGCTCTTGAAGTATTATTCATTATATTCAGTGAAACAATAGCAAATCATATTCCTTGACGTGTTTTGACCATGTTATCAGTGTTATTTTATCAGGACAATGACCAGTGGCCAAATTACTGTCAAAATAAATATATAAGAGTGTTGACTATAATCCTTCCTGGCTTTGATATCTTCTAGTTAACATTTGATAAATAACACCCAAATTCAAATAAAACACTCCTCTCTAAAATATATACATGAATATTTGATGCTTGTGAAAGCACTGAATACACAAGTGAATTGTAACAGCAATATTAGACACTTGCAGAAACACACAGATAATGGTATTTCAGGCATACCTTTTTTAAGATATATGTCTTCTCATTAGTGAAAGCGTGCTTAACAGACTAAACCAAGGGGAGTTAAGATATGCTGCAGGGGTGGAAATAACCCATTGCCTGACGTCCGAGTCCAGTGTTTTTTTCTGTCGGGCAAGCAAATTCGTATATCACACTGTACCAGCGTCCAGTTAACTTTCCAATGTTAATTATGTTGTTTATTTAAAAAATTCAACAAGAAAACGGCCGGTTTAGTGGAAATATTTTCAGGGCAAGTGATTTCACATGTGCCACTGTACCGGAGTACACTAGCAATTTTAAAGTTATTTCCACCCCTGTGCTGAATGAAAAATCTGAATATACAGTGTGAATGAGATCATGTGAGTAAGTACTCAATGGCAAAACATTTATTTCTTCAAACAAAGACTCAGACAAGAAAGGAAACAACATAAATCATTCATGGGCCATGTTATGTTTGATGGGTGACATGACTGACAGTGACAGCCCTTCCTGTTGGTGTGGATGTTGAAGGAAATGACCAGTGTCTCACACCAGGAAGTGATAGCTCTCTAGAAGACCATCACACGTCACCGAGTCTGGCCGGAGGATGTCCTGTTACATCACAGGCTGCCACTGCCAGACAGTACCACTTGACTATAGGGTCACACTGACCACTCATGTCCTCGGGCTCATCGTACTCATAATAGCTTTAACATGCCAACTCCGTGAAAAATAAGCAGTCTGTGTTTCACAGGGTTTTACATGATACAGAAATGTGTGTGCAGTCCACACAAATGTAAAGAATAGCCTCAGAAAATATATTTGATCCTGAAGGATGCATAATATTATTCACTATAACAAATTCTTCAGAAGAAATATAACGTTCCTGTAATTAAAATAATTACAAAATTTCATGTTCAGTTCACCATTTCATTCCTTCAAAGAACCCTTGTGTTTGTCTTGTACCTACCCTTGAAATTAGTAATGGTTTGTCCTCTAAACCTCTTAGATTTGTACGTCACCCTTATTTCAGTTGCTGGGGGGTTCCAGTCTTCCACACAGAAAAAACCCATAATAACAAATGTTCCTTTGTGAGCAATATTGGTCCTTGACCCCATATTTTACTGATGACTTGTCTGTAATCTGAAGCTAAGAAAGATACTTGGAACAGAGTATTTTTGAAAATAGTGTGTTAAACATGAAGATGCTTCATAAGTAACTGTTCGAACTAAACTTAAAATTGTTACTTAGAATTGAAGGATGAAAACAATTTCTGTTATGATCAAACAAGTCAAGTCTATTCAAACAATATGTCCTCTTCAGTATCTTGTGTCATGGTTAAAAATAGTTCTGTGGTGTAGTCAGTGCTTTAGACTGTCATGCACTCCTAACCTGTGAAACATGCAGGTCAACATGCTCAGGTCAGTGAGGTCGTTGCCAGTGGTAGGGTATGTGGCTATTCATCATCCCTATGTCACAGTGATGTTCTGATTCTGCACTTGCTGTACCTCGTCCCACATTTGTGTCCACTTCACCACCTGCTGGGGAGAAACTGATCATGCTGAACTGTGTCATAGGGTTTGAACTGTGAAGGACACGGGATCTTGATTTGACACACCAACAAATTACTTCTCCCTGCAAACATTGTTGATGTGTTACTGAGGCCATTGTTGACATAATGTCAAAAATGTCTTTTTTTCTTAACATAATACTCATGGTTTTGTTGACATAATTCTGGCATATTTATTAGCATAATATTGAATGTCATCCTTGTGATACTGACATTGTCAAAATACTAATGACTTTATGAAGGTATCACTGGTGTTGATGTGTTACTAACATGTTATCCATGTAATACTGATGTTGTGCGACCTGTTTATACTGACATCATCGATGACACAATTTTGACAATAGTGTCTTCGAACATGTGATGCTGACATCGTCAACACATCACATGTTGTCTACATAATATTCGCATTGTCACCTTAATACTGACATCATTGCTGACACTTGCTCTTATACTTACAACATTGTCGCTACATTGCCGTCTCATGACAATTGTGGGGTAGCCTAGTGATTAAAGCGTTCTCTCATCACGCTGAAGACCGGGTTCAATTCCCCACATGGGTACAATGTGTGAAGCCCATTTCTGGTGTCCCCACTGTGCAATTGCTGGAATATTGCTAAAATCGGCGTAAACCTAAACTCAGTCACACTTAAGAACTTCTTATGGTTCTATATGAAAGACAGACAAGTGTATCAATGTCTGTATATAGCAGCTGCCTGAGATGTAGTTCTGTTTAAACATATTTTATTCACATGAAATGAAAAGTGGTACAAGTCATATCAACTCACACTGCCCTCTCCTCAACATGTTACATAATTCATTTACAATGTAATACAGGGATAGAAATACAAACTTTTTGAAGGTGCCATTGAGCACCAGACAGATAGTTTAGTTGATCCTTTGTGAAAGTAATTGTTCCCTACCTTTTGATGATCCAGTTAAACATAAAACATCACAACAATTATGTCATTTCAGTTTGTTTATTAAATCAGTAAACATCATGTATACCTATAAACTTGAGAGCAGGATTTCCTTAACACCATCATGACCAATAGTTCAGCTTCATTTGTCCTGGACCCATAAGCTAACCCACAAATATGTTATCATCCAAAACAGGATTTCTTGTTGTGCATGTTGGCATTCAAAATGGCCAAACCCTTCGTCTTCCAATCATTTGAGTTCAGCAAATTTATCACATTTGTTCCTTTATATGAATCAATATATTATTCTTTATAATTGTAGTTGTGCCACATGTTGAACATATTCCTTTCATGCCATTTCAATATTTGACGTGCCATGTCACACAATTTAAGCACTGTTTTGATCCCTGTAAATTGTGTAATGTATCTCAAGGATTGATGGACAGGAGACTGTGAATAGAAGATAATAGATATATATGTTTGATTAACAAATGGGTTACCTTCATTGATGAATTTTTTTATGTTATTCTGTGAAAATATTCCCAAATGCAGTACAGAGCCCTGTTCCATGCATCAGTTTCAATATTAATACCCACGAAGATCCGTGATAGAATTGGTCTTCAGTAACCCATGCTTGTCGTAAGAGGCGACTAACGGGATCGGGTGGTCAGGCTCACTGACTTGGTTGACACATGTCATTGTACCTGGAGAACAATGCTCATGATATTGATCACTGGATTGTGTGGTCCAGACTTGTTTATTTACAGACTGCCGTCATACAGCTGGAATATTGCTGTGCTGTTTTAAACAACAAACCAACCAACTAACATGAAGGTTATCGTAATCCCATACTTTAACAGCCCACTGCCCACAATTAGTTGTTGATGACGGAAGTTATTATAACATGTGATATGTATATGTGAGCCTACTCTGTTCTCTGTGTTCATGAGAAACTGCAAGCATTGTGTTGTTTCCCACAGCTATGTGAGTGCAATGGTACCGGTCAAGACAATGAAGGAGTATGACACGATACAGGAAATCACTGTGCTCTTCTCTGAAACAGTACACAGGTAGGTGGGCTCCAGAATCAATTGACACTGGGATCAGGTGTTGTGTGCCCCATCATGAGAGTTGTGAGTGAATCACGTACACATACAAGGGAAACTTGAGAATAGCAATTAAACATTTAAATGCACTTAATAGGTTAGGTCTGTTAACGGAATCATTGATGGTATTGATTATCACTGTGTGAAATGACCGCCTCCGTGGTGTAGTGGTGAGAGCGTCTGCCTGGAGTGCTGAAGGTCGCGGGATTCGATCCCCTGACCGCATCATACCAAAAGACTTTAAAATATGGTACTTGTTGGTCCCTGCCTGGCGCTCGGCATTAATAGGTACAACAAGGACTGGTCGGCTCAGAGTCAGTATAATGTGTCTGAGTGGGGTATTCATGCTTCACTGCGGCATGGTATCTCAGTGGGCTAGTACTATAAAACCAGCTTCAGTCTGGGCTAGTACAAGTAGCCGCACATACACACACATACACACGCATGCACATCGTCATATGAGCGAAAAAATTTCTCAAGCACGCGACATTAACCCAAATTCCACCACCACCACCTGTGTGAATTGTTACAAAGATAAAGATGACAAGGATGAAAGAATCCAGGATAGATAACAATACAACTGTCAAAAGTGGAATAGTATGTATCAGACAGAAGATGAAAACATGTAACTCACAACAATATTCACAGGATATCATATGCATTTTGAATTGAAACTTCTGGACACAGTGACCATCAACTCTTTAGTTTATCAGGCCCAGTCATATTTTACCTGCCAATATCTGGTATTTACAGAACAAAAACATTGTGTAGAAACTATGACGAGTTTCAAGCTCATGAAACAAAATCCACTAAACTGCAAATGATGAACTCAGAATTATAGTAATTTCATGTCCAGTCCCAGGTTTGTTATTTACATTGTTTTGTTTCAGGGCACTAAAAGTTGGGCTTCTGACCCAGGATATGATCGATGAGTACGACCCTGCGCTCATGTTCACAATCCCTCGTCTTGCTATTGTCAGGTGAGCTAAGATGAATGACCTTGAGTCACTGGTATCCTGTGAACAACCATGGCCAAACCTTTTAGTAGAAAACGGCTTCATTTCTTTGCCATTGTCACGCAAATAAATGTCATTATTTTACTGATATTTTCTGCCAATTTTTCATAATTCTTTTGTTTGATTAATGAAAATGACACCAAGTTAAAATTTGTCCTCAGGAAACATATGCTTGTCCTCTATGAATATAGAAGTAATATAATATAAGAAGTTTGTTTATTGTTGTAGTGGACTGGTTGTGTTCCGAGAAGGACCACTGAATCCAGACAACGATCCATGGAATATGTCAGACATGTTCCGCCCATTCCAAACCCTCCTATTCAAGATCAGGTATGTTACAGAAATTGTTACTAAAAGCCTCTGTTACAACCAGAGGTATTCATGCATGAACCAGCCAACAAGTTCTGTGAATCATTGCTGCAATGTACAGTCTGTTTGGGTTCAAATGAGAACGATGAATGATTAAATATCTCGAAATAGGGATAAGTGCACACAACATAAATAAGACACATACTTCCTGAAACGTTTTATGATCAATCACGGAAAAAGTTGTTTAAGAAACTATCATGTAACATTGTACTATTTTCACGCTTCACACTGAGGGGTGACAAATGGCTGGTGGAACAGCGCCAGCACGCACTTTTGGTGCAACTCAGCACAGCCCCTTACTAGCCAGGAAACAGCCCTGCACTTATCCCTATTTCGGTTTATTTAACCATTCATCATTATCATTTGAACCCAAAGGGACTGTAAGCGTAGGGGTAGCCTAGTGGTTAAAGCGTTCACTCATCATGCCGAAGACCTGGGTTTGATTCCCCACATGGATACAATGTGTGAAGCCCATTTCTGGTCTCACTCGCCGTGGTATTGCTCTAATATTGCTAAAAGCGGCGTAAAACCATACTTACCCACTGACAGGACAGAGGAACTATCTTGCAGCCAGTCCCCATGCTGTTGGACCCTGTGAAGATCCCAGTTAATTTCGTCTTCATCCCATGATTGTTGTAACAGGCAACGACTATAGGATTGGAGGGACTTGGTTGACACGCGTCATGGTATCCTAGTTACATTAAGGGGCGGTGGGGTAGCCTAGTGGTTAAATCATTTGCTCGTCATGCCAAAGATTCAGGTTCGATTCACCGCATGGGTACAATGTGTGAAGCCCATTTCACGTGTCCCCTGCTGTGATATTGCAGGAATATTGCTAAAAAGCGATGTAAAGCAAAACTCACTCACTCACCTAGTTACGTTAATCCATGCTCATGAGTCACTATATGGCTGAAATATTGCGGTGGCGTTAAATTCTAACTCACTCACTCACTCACTCCATGCTCATGATGTCAACCGCTGGATTTTCTGTCCAGATTTGTTTGTTTACAGGCTAGACTACAGCTCAGTTGGTGGATACACACCCATGAGATTCAGAACAGCTGAAGTATCAACAGTGTCATTCCTTGACTTTTCTTTTCCAGAGAACTGCTGTATACCTTGTCATCTGAGGAGATGGTGACATTGAACGCGCACTGTGCTCCGCAGAAGAGCCAACATTCCTAGCCTCCCTCCAGCCGACCATAGAATCAGTGGAGGGCTTCACTCAAACAGAGTTCGTGAAACTTCACTCTGACAAGAACCAGGATGTACAGGGTGGACAACTACTTGAGGACACGTTGGGAGGACCGATACTCGTACACACACCAAATTCTGGTAGTCCTGTCACCCCAGTCGCTCAGACAGAGTTTCCTGTAGGGACAATGTCTGCCTCGACGTCATGTGCAACAGTAATTGCTGCATCGCGAGGTAACAGCTTGGACGTTGAGGATCAGCAAGAGCAGGAGTGTTTGTTGAACAAGAGTGAGAGCAACGACTCTGGGCTGCATAGTGAGAATGTCAGCACTTCAGACAGCATTACGACAGTGTCATCTGCAGAATCACAACCGTTACTCAACGATACTCTCACCGCGACTAATTCTGAAGGGGAGAGAACTCTGGCAGAGTTAACAAGGGATGCGAGTTGTGCCTCCCTTGATGATTCTTCTAGTTTGGAAGCGATGGAGACTGGTGAAAGTAATAAGACATTATCAGTTGCGGATGTATCACATAGTATTAGGCAAATGTGCGCAGATATTGTGAATGATATTGTTGAGACAACTGTAGTAGACACTGCAAGTCAGTCCGTCTGTCTGTCTGTTAGCCCTCCTCTGTCTCCCTCACGGTCTTCTGTGTCTTCCAATCTTTTGAAGCCATGTGAGGAAAGTAGCTCAGACTCAATCAGCATGTTAAGTGACTCTGTGAATCCAAAACCAAATGAAGAAAGTAGCTCAGATTCTGTCAGTATGTTGAGTGACTCTGTAAATCCAAAACCAAATGAGGAAAGTGGCTCAGATTCTGTCAGCATGTTGGAAGACTCTGTGAATCCAAAACCAAATGAGGAAAGTAGCTCAGATTCTGTCAGCATGTTGAGTGATTGTGTGAACCAGTTAGAGGCTGCCTGTGATCTCGGAGCTCATGACACGGACAATTTTGTGGGTAATAGTGCAATAGTCACCAGTTCCACCTCCCATGAAACATCTCCAGGCAAACCCAGCTGTTCTGTGATATTAGATAGTAACGACAGAATGGATGATACTGACCAAACCCACAAATTGTCCAAACATGGTCACTCTTCAAGCTCAAAATCTTCACTTCAAGCAACAGGGTCTAGGAAATCACAGAGAGACAAGAAAAGCTGCAGAACTTCAAATAATGGCAGTAACCATGGCAACACGTTAGATAAACTCCACAGTAAAGTTGGTGCTCCAAGTGGGGAGACAGGGGAGGGAACTCCGGAGCGACTCCCATTACGGAGTGTGCAACGGCTTCGCTATGCAGAGAGTATTAGTTCAAGCTGCTCAAGTTGCAGAAGCGTTGGTTCCAGTGTCCATGGCGACGGAGACTGGGAGAAGGAGAGGTATGTCAGGGTAGAATGTTTGGAGTTAGAGATGGAGTAGTTACATCAGTGTTAATGGTCACTTCCGATTAGTTTGTTTGATGAAGATGTTGAAACTGGTGGTGACTAACCAGAGCCATGACGCTCATCTTTCTGTCCATATATATCCCAACAAGGGTAGTCTTCGTCAGGAGAACTCGTACATTCCTGCAGCTTTGAGTAAAAAAGCTTTGCATATCTAAGCTTCCTGATGCAGTTAGGTGTTAGGTTGGTGGTTGGGATGTGTGGAGGGGAATATAGAGTATTCAGTAAATATTTTTCCAAAACACTGAAAACCGAACTCAAGAAGCAACCAATTTCAGTTATATATATGTCCTTGTGATGCATGAAAGTATACTCTAAACTTCCAAAGATAGTTAACTGTCTCAGATTGTCATGAAGAAGAGGTTTGATAAATGATGTAAACTATTTGTATTCGTTAATAATGTACTACTTCCCTGTAAGGATATGTCATCACCTACCCCAGCAACTAATGATGTTTATTAGGGGCGACCAATGCGATCAGCTTGTCAGGCTTAGCGACTTGGTTGATTACCTAACTTGACTGCATGGATCACTGCATTATCTAGTCCAGACTTGAATATTCATGTGCCACTGTTATGTAGATGGAGTAAACATGACAGACAACAGACAAATAAAAGTAAATTGAGAATTGTATGATGCGACTGCTCTCTGCTCTAACAGTGCCCCTTTCTGTCCAGCTGTGCAAGCAGTGAGACCAGCTCCTACAACTCGGAGTGCCATGACGATGAGGAAATAGCCCTGGCAATACAAGCAGCAGAGCTTGCATCCCGAAATGAGGCACGGTCTCGTTTCCGCAGCAGCAGCGACATGATTCATCGGCTCTTCGTCTGTATATCAGGTAACACACTGACTAACCTTCCTAAAGAATCCTGTGTGGGAAACTGGGTGCCCCTGTTTGAGGTATCAGTTGATTACATGGAGACACACATCATAGAGACATCCCGTAGTGATCTGACATTATATAGTATGACCAGAAATTATTTAGAATTTTAGGAATATGTTTAATTGGATTTCTAGTATAAACAACCTTGACCAGCTATCAAGTGCTTGGTTTTTTTATTCAAGAGAGACAACTCTGTTAACCTTTTTCATTAGTTTGTAAAGAGTTATCCACCTTTGTTTACTTGCTAGCAGACGACATTTTCAGTGATCCTCAGTATGGATGATTTAGAGAAGAGGAAGTTGATTTTAGAGTATTACAACAAGGACATCAGATCAGCTAAAGTGATTTCAAGTAGAACAGGCATCCCTTTGTCCACTGTTTATCGTGTTTTGAAAAATATTGCAAATGGATATGGCATTGAGCACCAGGGAGGCGCAGGTAGGCCCAGAATATTGACTGTCAGTGACAGGAGGCGGCTTGGTATTCTTGTTTCTAAAAAAACCCGAAGGAGTTTAGAAAACTTAAGGCTGGATATGATTGATAGAGAAACTGTGGCTGTCTGTAAGGAGACAGTTAGAACTGAGCTGCATGCAATGGGTTGGCAGAAAAGTCGAGGAATTCCATCACCGATCATGAAACCTGAACAAAAGGAGCGAAGGTTGAACTGGTGCTTACAGCATAGAAATTTTAACTGGGACAATGTGATTTTCTCAGATGAAAGTTCTGTGTGGCTGTTTCCTAATACACTGAAATTCGGGACCAAACAAACTGAAAAACCTTTGTATCAGCGCCCAAAGTACAGTCCGAAATTTAACGTGTGGGGTGGCATATCTGTCTTTGGGGCAACGCCCCTCTGTGTATTTGAAGGGAATATGAACAGTGAGCGGTACACAGATATTCTCGAGGGACATTTACTTCCATCTGCTCATGTGTTCTAAGGAAATTTTTGGATTTCCAGCAGGACAACGACCCAAAACATCGTTCAAAGCATTCACAGGCCTGGTTTCCACGACTTTCTAACTTCTTTGATCAGTAGTATGCCCCGCCGCATTGAAGCCTGCATTGCTGCCCATGGTGACTTGACAAAATACTAACTGTTCACCTGTCTTTGAATCTGGAGTTATGTTCTGCTAATATTCACATTTAATATGTGAGTAATGAGTGGAAAAAAAATGAATACAATCTTTTAATTCTCAATTTCTGGTTGTACTGTAGTATAATACAGCTGAATGAACACATCCATGTTCAGGTAGACACTTGACCAAATAAACTGCCCCATGTATACATCCTGCTCTTCTCATCCATTACGTACCTCCGCACAACACATACATACATTCCCAATCTCAAAACTATCGCTCACCACTCACTCACTCACTCACTCTGACTCACTGTTCCAGGTGTAGCAGACCAACTTCAGACCAACTTCGCCAGTGATCTGCGAAACATTTTGCGAGCTGTGTTTGACATGAACTGTGCAGAGCCTCTCATTACCGATGACAATATTGATGTGGATGTAGACGATGAGGAGGCAGCTGCAAGTTCATCCAATGAAAGCTCACCTACCAGGAGCAGGAGTAACATCGAAAATCGAGAGTATCTGTCTCACGGTCACAGCAGTGAAGCACAGGAACACACACAACCATCCCAAGGTCAGAAACTTCATTTAAGTTAGTCCAGTTTTTCAACAAGTTTTCTTGTTCATTATATCAAAATGATACAAAATGAAGACCAATTGTAATGAGGTTACTCCTAACTTCTTGAAATACAAAAATTTGCAAACTGGTATAACATTACAAAATGTCACAAAATGCATGTAAAATCTCCAAAGCTTATCGTCATTGTATCTGATTCTTGTGTGTTCACTACAATAGTAAGGGTATGTAGAAATTACTGTATTCCATATACTGTATGCTTAGCCTGCTATAACCTGGGTAGGCCCACCCAGCTTCCCCTCACATTCCGGACTCTCAACTACAGGCAAGGCATCCCCATTAAGCCCCATTTCACCCAAACTAATCAGACTGTAAAGTTTGTATTTGAGGAGTTAAATGTGTCTGTTCCTTTTTAACAATTCTGTTAACCAAAGGGATTTTGCTGTTTCAGATCCGCCCCACTGGGTGCCGGACGAGGTGTCACCATTGTGCATGGCGTGTAGAATACCATTCACCTTTGTGAGACGACGACACCACTGCAGGAACTGTGGCAAGGTATACTGGGAAAGCTTGCTAAAAAGCAGCATCCTAATTGAAGTAGCTAGCTAGCTTAAGAATTGAGCTGTTTGCTCGAGACATTCACCATATAATTGCAGTTCATTAGACAACCTACGAGACTGCTCTTGTTAGGTTAGAGTAAATGAGTGACCAAGCAGAATAAAATGACATGAGTGAGAATAAAACGACTTGAATGAGAATGCAACAGCATAAGTGAGAATAAAATGACATGAGTGAGAATAAAACGACTTGAATGAGAATGCAACAACATAAGTGAGGATAAAACAACATAAGTGAGGATAAAATAAGATGAGTGAGAATAAAACGACGTGAGCCAGAATGCAACAACATAAGTGAGGATAAAACAACAAAAGTGAGAATAAAATAAGATGAGTGAGAATAAAACGACTTGAGTGAGATTAAAACAACATGAGTGAGCATAAAATGAAGATAGTGAACAAGCAGAAACGACGTGAGTGAGAATGCAACAACATAAGTGAGGATAAAACAACATAAGTGAGAATAAAATGATGTGACTGAGAATAAAACGATGTGAGTAAGAATAAAACGATGTGAGTGGCCAAGTTGAATAAGACGACGTGAGTCAGAATACAACAGCATAAGTGAGGATAAAACAACATAAGCGACGTGAGGGACCAAGCAGAATAAAACAAAATGAGTGAGAATAAAACAACATGAGTGATCAAGCAGGTTAAACACCAGTATTAATGAATCCTGCTGTCACTTGATACATTTTTTAAACTTTCAGTCAAAGGTTGCAGTAAGACTACTTTTCTGTTTTCTCTCTAGTGTACTCTTTTGTAGCTTCTGTGAATCTTTGTGCTGCTCCTTAAAATCGATTTTGATGGATTTGTTCCAAAGATAGATTCTAGGTGTAAATCTGTATTTCCCTTTTGAAGCTTCAGTAAAGTGCTTGTGTTTCTATCAAACGACAACTGAAACATGATTCCCTGCCATGTATTCTTGCCTCCAAATACAGACACTGATATTAGATAGATCACCCAACAACACATGCCCTGAACAACAATGTAACATATGTTAATATTTGGGATTACACTTTCTTAGAAAAGTACAAATTCTAGTACTTTTTGAGTTGAGCCCCATCCGGGATTCGAACTCACTCCCTCAGAGTCAGGCACCTAATCGCCAGCACACAAAGTCAGACGCCTAACCCGCTCAGCTACCGCGACTTCCACAAAAATGGAAGTTGGACAACTGGTAGTCTAGACTGCGGACTTTGTGTACCCCTCTGATGAGTATTAATTGGCACGGCTCCCACGGCCGAAAGCTATGAAATTTCAAATATAACATATGTTACATTTGACCACTTTCTAAATGGCATTGTGTATTTCATTCCTTAAAAACAATGATCAATGATCTTTACCTTCTCTTTGTCTTCAACCTGACAAGTGGATGGAAAGATAGAAAATATATGTACTCCCATTTGAAGGCATATGTGTAAGGAAATGAATTGTGTTGCAGTTTCATGGGGTTAGGATACATATACGATATGTCAGGTTTGTTAGTGAAGTATGTTCACCATTTGGAATTTATTGAAAAAAGACTGTGGAACAGCAACAAGTCAGTATCAAAATCATTTATAGGAAGCAGCACGGGGGAACGGATACCGTAGCTAAGTATTGGTCTGTCAGGATTCACTTATGTATTGATGCAAACCGATGAGGAAGTACAGTTCCAACTTTATGGTGATTTTGTTTCTCTCTGACAACCTTGTCTTCTGCTTCAGATCTTCTGTGGGCGCTGTTCCTCCAATTCTGTTCCGCTGCCTCACTACGGACACGCAAAGCCTGTCAGGGTGTGCAACCGTTGTTTCATGTTCCAAGTTACACCATTCACCGTCGCTGGGGCGTCCTAGTTGTCATCACAGGATTGTCCTCGATGCCCATCTACTCCTCCAGCAAGTAGGATCCAAGATGTGTCCATTAACTCTTTCAACATGGACGTCCGTGTTGTCATGCTGCACCTTCACCAAGGGCATCGTAGTGGACCAGCTCCATCATCAATTGATTGATCGAATTGTCCAGTTACATCTTCAACATGGGGAGTACTTTTTGTCCATCTGGGCCTTCAACAGGCGAGGTCCGTATGGTGTCTATCTACACCTTCAACATGGGCGTCCTGGTTGTCCAGCTACATCATCATCGAGGCCCTATTGATGTCCATCTACACCTTCAACATGGGCGTCCTAGATGCCCAGCTACATCTCCAGGGTGTCCAAGTTGCCTAGCTACATCATCTCCAGGGTGTCCAAGCTGCCTAGCTTCATCGTCACTGGATGGCCCTAGTTGTCCATCTGCACCTTCAACAAGGGGCCACTTTTTGTCCATCTACACCTTCAACAGGTAGCGTCCTTCAACTGTTGGAGATGTCTGTGTTATGGCATTACACCATTCCTCCCTGAATGTAAGTGTAACAGCCATAGCAATAACTTTCCACGGATGAAGATGCTATGTCGTTAAACCATTCCTCATTGCAAGGACGTGAGAAGGATGTCCTCGCAGGCACACACCTAACTAAATGGCTTCATCATTCCTTGTGGTGACTTATTAGTGGCGCTACACTGGCAATACACATAACCAACCAGTAGCAGCCACTCCATGTCCTATGCTTTAACATGTGTATTCCTCATATACCAACCAATAACCTCCATGTTTATAACAGAGCTGTCCAGTCAGTATGAACAAGCTTGTACAGCGATGCATCATTCTACTGTTATTCATGATATACCACCTGATTGGTTTCCTACTTAGCAATATTGTCACGCAGCACATTATGACTGTCAACTCCAGAGTGAGGAGCCTGCAGCACCAGTGTCGAATCAATGGCTCAATTGCCACGAATTACACAGAGCCTTTTGCTCCATGTTCTTGCTGCCTGTTGCAGCCAGGGTCACGGTTGCAGCTCCAGGGGATCGCCAGCCAATCAAAATGAACCTGTTTATACTCACACTTATCCAGGATATTTTACAATGAAGTGATTGATGTATTTATCGTGAAAGGATGGCCACTGCGATGGGACTTGCTCTTTCATTTGTACTTCAGTTAAGTGCATGGCATGCTAGTTGTATCCTTTTGTATTTATTTCCATGGGAAATTTTGATTTTCTTCATGGTGTTAAGTAGGCCCAGGGCATATGTGGCCCAGTGGTGTAAGTCGCTTCAATTTGCTCACAGTTCATTAGTTGTGCAATGATGCACTGGTCCTGGTTTCCTATCCCACATTATTTATTATCCTTGGTCTGTCTGCACCAAACCTGTGCTTGTGGCTTTCACCTAACTGGTAACTAGTTAACTTGTGGCTTGATATTGCCGAACTCTGGTCCAGCCTGAAAGTTAACCAAGTTTAATTAAATAAAGTCAACTACACACAACAAATTTGGTGCCACAACCATTTGAAATTGATATTTGAAATCTTTAACCTGCAGATGAACTATGAAGACATGGTAAGATGGAGAATCTCTGATGGCACCGTATTTATCAAGTGCTTATGTCCCACTGTCCACTCCACGAAAAACAACTCTCATTAAGATATAACCATATGTAACATTGGCATCGTTTTTAAAGTTCACAACTGAGGTTTAAGAAAGTTGAACAAGGGTACTGAATAGGGCACTGTCCTATGTGTTTGTGTTGAAATTCTGACAAGTAAAAGACATTGACGATTACAGAAGTTGAGGGTTCATGTGTTGTTAAGCAGACTTCAGTGTAGCTTCTGGCAATACCAAACTATGCCATCAAACAATACTGGAAAATAACATATATGTCGCACTAGAACTCCTCTTGCAGTCAGTTTGTGAACATGTTAAGGAATTAAGAAATCTTGTGATGCTAAAAATAGCATGCTGATGCAAGTGTCAATAGTGGATTAGCACTTAAGTGGTGGTGCCATTTTGTGCGGGTCTAGTTTGTTTGGTGATGCCATTGTACAACACAGTACTGACATGTGCATGTGAGGGACTTGGGTGTTGTCTTCATCCTCAACATCCTCTACATCTTGTTTAGAAGACCAAAATGGAATGTTTGAGTAGAACAAAATGGGAAATGTTCTTTTTTAGTAGAACAAAACAGGAAGTATTCTTCTTTGATATGCTTCAGTGGGATGTGTTCTTGCTTATTATAATGCTTTACAATGTTTGGGAGGCATACTTGTTTTCAGTAGGCCTTTAGAGGAAGTTTTCTTTTGAGTAGGCTAAAATGAATCTTTTTGTAAACTGAACTGGAATTTTAGACCAAAATGGTAAGTGTTCTTGTTTCAAAAACTAAAATTAGAAGTATGAAATACAGAAATTGGAAGCGTTTGTGTTTAGAAGACTGAAATAGGAAGAATTCTTGTTTAGAAGAATAAAATTGTGTGTACCTGTCGTGAATAGACTACAATTTGTTAGTTTTGAAGGCCGAGGAAAATAGTGTTTGCAGGGAATGAGGTATTCTTATACCTGACATACAGGAGTGGGACATGCAAGTGTTTAGCAGCTGGGTGAAGAATTGTTAGGGGATCAATGTTACAGTTGGGGGGAGGGGGGTTGGGGGAGCAGTTAGAGATGCCAACCACTCCGATTTTGGAGGAGTTACTCCGATTTTCAAATACAAAATCCTTACTCCGTTTTGTATATAAAAACTCCGATTATTTAGAAAATACAAATATGTTTATAAATTTAGAATGTTTGAAAGAATTTTAGTAAATATGTTCATTTGAGTTAAAAATTATCTGGTTAAGTATGCCCAGAAATCGCATATTTCCAGGCTAAATTTTCATAGGGGAGGCCCCACATACCCCCACCGCCAAAAGGGGCCCGAGCCTCCTCTCACGCTCACCCCCCAACTCGCACCTTCAGGGCTCGGGAATTGCTTTCAGCAAGGCATGACTCCAATTTCATCTGATTCAGGGTTGGCATCTCTGGGAAGGGGAACAGTTGCTGTGGAAGAGGAGGGCTGGGTTACGTTTGTGTAGATCAGATGGAACTGGGAGTGTCTTTTTGATACGACACTGCTACTGTGTCGACACTGTCTTTCTAACACTGCTGTGGTGGGTGAGAGTATTTCACCTACTGAACATGTTGAACTAACTGTGATAAATGTTCAATTGTATATATATATTTACTTGCTCTACTCTGGGTTACAGAGATTTGTATAAAGAGAATATTTTCATATACAGACATAGTCGAGATGTAAACAGCTTCTGATGGTGATGATCACTTTTATGGTTTTTAGACTGTCTGTAATCCATATACAGTGCTGATTTGCTTTTTTGCCTGAATGTTTTTGTACTGCAAGATTTCATGTGAGTAAGATGGTGTTGTCATTCAGAGCAGTTAATGAAATGTGTGCTGTTGCTTTAAATACAACAAATATTCCATATATAGCATATATTCTATAATTGGCAGTTGTAATTTTACATTGTTTCAGTGTCATGCTTTTAGAACATGTTTTATTGTGACAACTGTGCTATATTGGCAGATTATTTTAAAAATATACAAACCCCCAAAACACTGAAAAAGGCATGAAACATGATAAAGGATATATTTTAGTCCAGAATGAATTGTATTTCACTATCACATACACAATTTATCCGTGGAAATTTCCATATTAAATGTGTTCAAGAGCTAGGTCGTGATGGTTGATCATGTAAAGGGAGCTAACTCCTACGGCCATATTTGCCTAGTATCCTTGTAAGATCTCATTTAGTTGTAGAGGCTAACAATTACAGATCTGTTTTGTTTATTTTATTGTAGCTCTTGTCAGTGAGATATGTAACCTCTTGACACTGATTTTACTCCCTTATAGTGCTTGTTTCAATGTTTATCTAGTACTCCGTGAATGCAGACTACACACATCAGTCTCCAACTAAACTGAGACATATATACGGCTCAAAATAAGTTCAGGACCACCCTATTCTTTCATATTAGCAACAATCATTTGATTGCTTGAGGCCTTGAATTTTGGATGCAGACTGGAATTTATTTCATTGCAGAACCAGATGTTTTTTAACTAAAACTATATGGCTCAATACAATCAAATTGCTATCTTTCACAGACCTATTCAGGCAGCTAATTTATTTTTGAAAGTATGAAGCTTAATTATTTTTCAAATCTTTTCTGGGACAATCTATTTGTTTGACTCATGTCCCAAGAACATCAAGAAGTCAGTCCCGTACTATAGTAATATGAAAGAAGTGGGTCATCTTGAACTTCATGTGAGGAGTATTTTACCTCCTACTCAAAGTGCTGCTGCTGCTACTTGTTCTTTTTGTTTTATGTTTGAGCTTGCCCTGTTACTTGAAACAGTGAAACACTGTACATATTCAGATGTTAATGACAAGCAATGTCCAATGATCTCATTTCATTGTCGACTCCCCCGACTCACTGTTTCAAAGGCATTACTGAGATGTTTGGAAAGTGATGTCACCATTTTGTGGTGCCCTAAGACTTTTTGCCCAAGTTCTACTAAAGTCTAGAACTGGAAATACATTTTACATGCCCAAAGTAATTCTGTAAATGCATGGCTAAATATGAGTATAAGTTCTTGTTTTTAATTTTGAGTACCAAATATGTCCCTTTCTATGGCTAGAATGTAGAAAAAATCGAATGGGTACCATTTCTTTTAATATACATTGCATCTACATCAGAGTTGTTGCATTTATAGACATGAGCTTGATGAAGTAGCTGTTATTGCATAAATTGAAAGGTGCCAAATGTGCCAACATGTGATAGATAATAAACATATTCATTATTATATCATGTTGACATGATTTTGATATTGAAACTTGCTGTACACCAAGATAAGTATTGAATATGTTCATCTTGGCATATTGGTGTAGGTAATCAACAGAACAAGAGGCTTGTACAAGCAATATAATGCAACCAATGGTACCTTGGGGAGGTGGACAACACTTGTAAACGGTCATTTATGTACCCCTGTGCTCCACCATTGACATCTTAATCATTCACTGAAACAATTACCGGTACAATATTTTCCTTACTTAAAGTATTTTATGAAGCTTTAAGGACACTACCACCACATGCTACATGTATTCTCAGTATTCCAGGATGTACTCATCTGTATGTTGTATTCATTTGTAACATTTTCTGTTCTATCTTTGTAACTTACACCGAATTTTGCCTGGAAGAATTTCATGAGGATTAGTAGCTCTTGCAGTGATGTTTCGTAATGGATGCTTATTGCCTTTTCTACAAGTTTTGGATTAAGAGATTTTCTGTGTGGGATCTGTGAGTGAGTGAGGCTGTCATTCCACTTGTACAATCAGTGTAGGTTGTGTGCAGCATTTAGCAGGCTCATGTACAGCATGGGGTTACTGTCAATAAACATTTTTTATATACAGAAATACCAGTGTTTGTGTTTGACATGAAGAATTAAGCTGTTTGGTTGACACTCATGATGCAGCTAAAATAATGCTGACTCTAGTGTTAATGAACATTGAAGACCATGGACAATGATAGATCAGTGGAGTGGCGGGATGAATGTGAACAAGACATGTGGAGTCCAACATGGATCCTACCTGTGTGTAAAGGGGTAGCCTAGTGGTTAAAGGGTTTGCTTGTCACACCAATTGCCCAGGTTAGATTTCCCACATGGGCACTATGTGTAAAGCCCATTTCTGATGTCCCCCTGCTATGATGTTGGTGGAATATCGCTAAAGGCGGCATAAAACAACTCAGCATAAAACAACTCGCCCGGTGTGTGGACCTCCTTGACATGACATCGGCTCTTTTTTACTGGGTATGAAACTGGAGGTGTTCCCAGGCTTAGATAGGAAACATTTGATGTAAAGAAAACCTTGAAGTCTTGCTTCAAAGAAAGGTTGGCCATGGGTAAATCCTCCATAAACAAATTATTTACCTGGGTAAATCCTGCTTCAATGAATGGCACGTCACAGGTAAATCCTACATCAAAAAAGCTTGAGCATGGGTAAAACAGGCTTCAATGAACGCTTACTGATCCTGCTTCTGCCAAAAGTCTGACTGCCCACAAAGAATAAAGGCAATGAGAGAAAGGTGTTGAATGCTGGTGAAGGTTGGACTTCTGCATTGCCTTCCTGCAAGACCCTCAGATGTCACAAACGTTTGGTGACCTAGCTTGTTATAAAGAAGAGAGTTTGCAATACTTAAAATTTATCTGTTAGTTTTTATCTTATCTTCTTTGTTCATAGAGGGCACAGTAGGCCATATCGCCCAAGGTGCAGAAATTCACAATTGTGTCCCTTGGGCTCGAGAGGAACCTTTGAGCGTAAGTTTCAGCGAAGAGGCAAAATCCTTGTGGCTTCCCATACACAAGAAGCCGATGCACCATGATAGAACAGTAATACTGTTCAAATCAGCGTTTAAACCCAGTTCAATCTCTGACATCAAACTTTGAAAAGCCTCCGACAATACAGGGTGAATCGAAAACGGATATGAATCCGCTCCTTCTCAAACACATATCCAAAATTATGAACATGTCTGTCTGTCTAGTACATGAAGGATTAGGGTGTTCTTTTGGAGCGATTATTTTCCCCAGCGAATACGAGGGTAAAATGGACACACTCCGTTAGATGTTAAAGGAGCAGACCTCGAAAACCGGGGAATTGAACCCAGACCTTCGGTGTGACATCAAACGCTTTAACCACTAAGCCACCCCACCGCCCTAGCAGATCTTGAAAACCGTGTACTATTTCTTCATCGACGCTTGCACATAGATATACCTCGTGGTGAGTTGGTGCCTTTTGATAGTTGATTTTTTGGGTGGGAAATATGTATTTCGAGCTTCTATGGCAACAGCTTTGACTTCGGCTTGAAACTGCGGTTGTACCCATTAGCTCAACATCTCTCATTCTTGTTTGATTGTTTTCTAAACTATAGATTTTAGTTTCTGTTGAGTTTATATGGTATACAAAAGATGTGCAGCCAACACTTTGCGACAAGCATCCTTAAAATGACTAACAAAACTTACTTAAATGATCAACAAAGATCAAAATAATGACAGGCAACCCTTAACAAGATTAACCTGGGGATACATAGGACATGATAATGGACAGATCCTGTTGAATGAAGCTCAACAGGTCCAACAAATGCCCGGCATCCTTCCCGAGTTAAGAGTTCAAAATAATGACCTGCACCTTTTCAAAGACTGACTGACTGACTGAGCTTGGTTTTACGCCGCTTTTAGCAATATTTCAGCAACATCACGGCGGGGGACACCAGAAATGAGCTTCACACATTGTACCCATGTGGGGATTCGAACCCGGGTCTTCGGCGTGACGAGCCAACGCTTTAACCAATAGGCTACCCCACCGCCCCCCTTTTCAAAAACTTACCATAGCGTAAAGGTAAAAACAAGAGGACAAAGTTATCGCTATCCCATGCAATAGGAAATACTTGTCATGAAAGCGTCAACCAGTTATATCAATTGCATGAAATGAAATTTGTGGTGTAATTTTCTTCCCAAAACACATTCTAAAACTTTAGAAAATATTATTAATTCACAAAACTCATTATTTCTGAACAATATTTTCAATCTTTATTACGAATGTGTTCAATTAACGTACAGGTTTTAGATATTACAACTTTTGTTATATACTTTACTGTAATTACATCCTATCACTTGATTCGTCTCATAACTAATATATGAAAGTGTTGTTTTCCCTTCACATAGACAGCACTGCTTCTGTTCTCGGTTCTTTTGTCTATAAAATTACCTCATATACCACACAGCTGAACTAACCGTTAACATTTCTCCTTTGTTCTATACTAAGTGTGTTTTCTTTCAAACATAGCTTTGCATTTATGACAAACATTTAGATAAAAAACTTGTTCTCGTTGTTTTATTGCTGGAATGCCGAAACGACATTAAAGTTTAACTCCCTCAATATATGCTACGCTCCACACGTTGGTGGTTTGTACACAAGTCTTTCATCCTTACGGGTGACACAGGACATTGCATGAAGTGGGTATGATGGTACTTGGAGAGAGATATCATCGAATTTGTCTTTGATGAAAATTACTAATTGAAACTGAGTATTGAAAAACAATGAAGCATATCCATCAGTACAAAATCATGCAGGGCGGGTGATCTTCATTTGCATACAAAACTTAACAAAAGTTGAATTCTTGAGGCTCAGGAGGTCTTGTTGAGGGATATCTGTCATTAGTTTGACCTATTTAGGATCAGATAAGTTCTGTTAAGGGACACCTGTCATTACTTTGACCTCCATCGTAATCTCCAGACACCACAAAGTGAAACAGAACACTTATAGTCTGAACATCGCACAGGAGTAAGCACACGCCATCTCACTGCACAGAGCTTACAGAAGAAAAGCACAATGCACCTGAGAGCACAGGTCTTAAATTAAGAAGTATAGCACACATCACAGCACAGATGTTTCAGTAAGAAGCACAGGACACCTTAGGGCACAAATTTGACAGAAAGAGGCACTGGACACCTCACTGCACAGGTCTTAAGTAAACACAGGACACCTCAGTGGACACATATAATAGAAGAAAAGCACACTGCAACTCAGAGCACAATTCTTACAGTAAGAAGCACGGGACACCTCTGTTCAAAGGTCTTACAGTAAGAAGCACAGGACACCTCTGTACACTGGTCCTACCGTGCACAGACTTTAAAGAAGCACAGGACACCTCTGTACACTGGTCTTACAGTAAGATACACAGGACACCTCTGTGCAGAGATCGTACAGTAAGAAGCACAGGACAGCTCTAAGCACAGACTTTAAAGAAGCACTGGACACCTCTGTACACGGGTCTTACAGTAAGAAGCACAGGACACCTCTGTGCACAGATTGTACAGTAAGAAGCACAGGACACCTCTGTGCACATACTTTAAAGAAGCACAGGACACCTCTGTACACTGGTCTTACCATAAGAAGCACAGGACACCTCTGTACACAGGTCTTACAGTAAGAAGCACAGGACACCTCTGTGCACAGATCGTACAGTAAGAAGCACAGAACAGCTCTATGCACAGACTTTAAAGAAGCACTGGACAGCTCTATGCACAGACTTTACAGAAGCACTGGACACCTCTGTACACTGGCCTTACCGTAAGAAGTACAGGACACCTCTGTTCACAGGTCTTACAGTAAGATGCACAGGACACCCCTGTGCAGAGATCGTACAGTAAGAAGCACAGGACAGCTCTGTGCACAGACTTTAAAGAAGCACTGGACACCTCTGTACACTGGTCTTACAGTAAGAAGCACATGACACCTCTGTGCACGGGTCTCACAGTAAAAACACAGGACAACTCAGTGGGCAGATCACACAGTAAGAAGCACAGGACACCTCTGTTCACATGTCTTACAGTAAGAAGCACAGGACACCTCTTTGCAGATGGGATGCATAATCCCCTCAGAACAAAATCGGATGTGTGTATTTTAGGTTCAAAATCAATATTAATTTAATTAATTTTAAGACAACCGCCAAACGAATTGTTTCAGGCGTCACACTTTCAAGGTCGTTTAGCAGCAACCATTTCTACCGACAACTGCCAATGTGCGTACAAGAAGTTTTCATTTATAACCATAACAAAGGTAGCGTGTTAGATAAATAATTTAAGGTAACAGCCACAACGGCGCTGTGAACGTTCTATTCTTACAAACCGTACCTCTTGAGTGGACTGTAACTTGTGTAGTCACCCTCGCCAGGTCTGTAATTGAAACAAACAGCACCAGGAGGGTCAACCCCCATGATTGACGCTACTGATTGACTCAAGGATATGCCAGGATTAATTAGCCGACATTAGATCAGCTGTAAGTCCTCGCGCCGCATTCCTGTACCTCATTGATGTGAGCGACTTCATCGGTCCAGCGTGTTAATTTCATTACTTTAACGTTGTCTTACCCAAGGCTGGCACGGCGAAGCTACTTTCGTGACGCATAAAGAAGTTGTTTGATTCTAAAGGCTGTATTCTGAGGAAGTATTAGCGGCGTGGATTTTTTTACAAGCATTTCCGTAAAAAATAGACGTGTTGATTTCAGTGTGGCCACGCGTTCAGTATTTGTTTTCTTGTAAAAATATGACAGAAAAAGGCTTTTTTTCGATTTTATAGCAAAAATACAATAACAAAAGACGAAAGAAAATAAGAAAACAAAAACAATTCTACATAAATAATTTATATTTGCAAGTAATAACAAGTTCAGAAAACATGAGCATAGCCTTTTTTTCATATACTCCACGCCCAGCAGGTCTCACGTTTTTGCCGGTGTTGAAAGTGTTTTTAACTTTTCGTATTAATTCTCCATATTCTACACAAAACTGGATCTATTTTCGTCACTGCCTTCTTTTGCTTGAATAATAAAGAAAAAAAACAATAACCCACATTTTGCTC